GCTTGTGTCCTGTGGTTAACTTTGGTGTGACCAGCAGACGTATCAGCGAGACACTGTTGAGAAGAGCACGACGCAGGACACATCTTGTTCCAGCGGCGGCCGCAGGATGACAGTCTTGGAGGCTCAGGCAAACCGGGCGCAGAAAAAGTGGTAGCAAGACTCTCAAAGGATGCCATTGCTGGGATCCAACAATTGTGTTCTGATGGTTTGGAGCATGAGCTGCGTCCAATACTAGAACCCTTCAAGGTGGCTGTACCCCTTATTTTCCAAATGAAACCGTTGAACAAAGATCGTTTTCAACTTGACACAGATTCAGAGAACTTTGTTTTTGCCACCGCGTCCAAGAAACAGGGATGCAGGCCAAATATGTCAAGGCAAAGTGTTTCGGAAGCTCTCAAGGTGATCAGGAAAGTGATGTTTCAAATTACTGGCAACTGCCGGTACAACCCCACAAGTAAATTTCAAGGCAGTAGGGTTACAGTGCACGGAGGCACCCGGCACACGAGCGCTAGCCTCCTGCTTTCGAACAAACATTCTGATGAGAAAGGGCCTTCCGAACATGTTATTTTAGAAAATCAACAACGCTCCGATGCAAGAGTGTTCTGGAAACATTATTACTACGCTTAAGAAGAACAAGTGGAAGCTGCTTTAGAATATGGCGCTGCGCCAAGTTTGTTTACAAGAGGCCTTCCAGAGGCGCTTCCAACTGAAGCAGCAGTGCCTTATAAGAATTGGTGCGCAAGGATTGCTTAGTTTTACATGAAGAAGGCCTGCCACGTTCTCCAAAATGCAGGCTTTGGGTTGCTCTTTGATAATCCATTGCGAACCGTGCAAAGTAACTACTCCTCTTGGATCAAGGCCTCCACGTTTTCGACCCAACGCGCTGAAGGATGGACAAGGGTAACCAGCAACGTATAAATCTATGTTGCGAGGTTTGGAGGTGGAGCCACCCAAAACCAAACTCCGTTCAGTCATGTCCATCTCCAAAGTTCCAACTTCGTGCTTCAACTGTGCACAGATACATCGATACAATTTTTTCTTGTCTTCGTCAGTTTCTGACCAGCACACACTTTCCAATTTTGGCAGCAAACCTAACAAGGCCAGAGCAATGATTTCCGAACCCAGACCTGTGCAATCACTGGCCACTCTGATGGACCCAGTGTTCATTGTTTTTTTCACAAGCTCAGCGGCATCAGCCAAAGAGCGCACTTGACCCATCATTTTTCAAAAGTTTCCTTGGTGATAACTGGTTTCTTTCTTGGCTTTCCTGGTGGACCTTTATCTTTTTGCACATTGGAGCTTTTGATTTTTCTTCTTGTCAAGGACTTCATCCAGCACGACTCCACCTCATGCCATGGCTTCCTAACTCACCGTATTTTGATTGCAGGTCAATAATATGGGTTGTGTTTCACAATACTTACGACTATCAGGAAAGAATCCGCTGCTGTTTCTATTAGCTTTTCCACATCTTGCCCGAGACCCCGGCTTGAACCTCACAGACCAGGTCAAAGGCTGAGCTGCGGCAGCGGCGTGCGTGTAAGGACCCCGGGCAAACCCGGGGTCCTTACACGCACCCTGGCTGGTCTGGCTGTGTGTAAGGACCCCGGGCACGCAGCGTTGAATGCACCCCGGGGTCCTTACACGCGCGCGTTGTAGCGGCGCCGGGGTCCTTACACGCGCCCTGGCTGGTCTGGCTGTGTGTAAGGACCCCGGGTTCCCCCGGGGTCCTTACACGCAGCCCGCTAACGCAACCCCCGGGGTCCTTACGCGCAATCTGGCTGGTCTGGCTGTGCGTAAGCAACTTTAACGTCGCCCACTCCTAATTAACGTCGCCCCAATTAACGTCGCATACTCCTGTTCTACTACCAGGCTTGCAGGCCAACCAAAGAAACAGTCATGCTTGAGCACTTTGAGTTGGCATGACAAGCACAGCGCGCTGACTACTTTTTTCCCCAAGTACTGTAACCGTCCCCAAGGCCGAAGGTTTCTGGTCATGAAAATGATGGTGCTGACGTCTTTGGACAACACACAATTCATGAAAGCCCCACGACAAGAATGAGGTATAAGCCATCATTCCTCACACAACCTGCTTCTCATCATTGTAAAACTAAGCACTCCTTGCGCACTGCTTCTCATCTCGGTGACTAGACAACAACATGTCCAAGAATTCTCTGTCAGTTTTGGCAGTTCGTCCCTCTTTTTAAAAAGTGTTCTTCTCTGATTCCAGACACAGCACCATGTGCGCCGATGTCAATGCAGAAGTTTCCCATGAGTTTGCGCCTCTGTTGCAGTGATCCTGTAAAAATTTGTGCACGTTGCTTTTCTTCTTACACATCTCTGGAGAGAAGTGTATTTTTTCATCTTTTTCTTGACAGCAGGCTTGCAAAATCCAATGGAAAAAACAGCCGACTCAGCTTCGAGCAAGCCTTCGTTCATGACCACACCTCCTTTCAGAACAGCATGCCTTGCGCACTCCTCGCGCACCAAGTCTTAGGCACTGCTGCTTCAGTTGGAAGCGCCTCTGGAAGGCCTTTTGTAAACAAACTTGGCGCAGCGCCATATTCTAAAGCAGCTTCCACTTGTTCTTCTTCAGCGTGGCAATAATGTTTCCAGAACACTCTTGCATCGGAGCGTCGTTGAATTTCTAAAATCACATGTTCGGAATGCCCTTTCTCATCAGAATGTTTGTTCGAAAGCAGGAGGCTAGATGAGGCTAGCGCTCGTGTGCCGGGTAGCTCCGTGCACTGTAACCCTACTGCCTTGAAATTTACTTGTGGGGTTGTACCGGCGGTTGCCAGTAATTTGAAACATCACTTTCCTGATCACCTTGAGAGCTTCCGAAACACTTTGCCTTGACATATTTGGCCTGCATCCCTGTTTCTTGGACGCGGTGGCAAAAACAAAGTTCTCTGAATCTGTGTCAAGTTGAAAACGATCTTTGTTCAACGGTTTCATTTGGAAAATAAGGGGTACAGCCACCTTGAAGGGTTCTAGTATTGGACGCAGCTCATGCTCCAAACCATCAGAACACAATTGTTGGATCCCAGCAATGGCATCCTTTGAGAGTCTTGCTACCACTTTTTCTGCGCCCGGTTTGCCTGAGCCTCCAAGACTGTCATCCTGCGTATGTCTGTTCCGCGCAGCAACAGTGTCTCGCTGATACGTCTGCTGGTCACCAAAGTTAACCACAGGACACACGCGCATTTGGGACCGGCCCAATACAATGTAACTGCTAGAAACAATGCGATCTGATCTCTCGGTATGAACACATGTTGCTTGCATGTCTTGGTTTGGTGCAGACCTTTGTTCCATGGCTTTGAACGGGTGCAGCCACGTCCTGGAGCGTTGGATTTCGCATGTGGTGCACATTTCTTGTGCTCACTTTCTTGCGGGTACAGCCAGGCCTTTTGCCTTTGGTTGGTGCAGCACTGGGATGAAAGCCATGTTTTTTTCTTTTCCGCGTGGCTTGTGCCATATTTGAGATGTAAATGGTTGCCCAAAAGCCAACTTACCACAGCAAATTTCCAATTTACCGAAGGGGTGGTCGGTAAATTGGGGTCAAAAATGTGTAAGAATTGAAGGAAAAACAGCATATTCATGATAAAATGGTGGTCCACCCAATGTCAAATTGAAGAAAAATGTCAAAACATGTGGTTAGGTTTGATTTCCAAACTATGAAAAATTGGTGGCAATATCACAATTTTGCCTCGAAAACTATGCAAAACATGTGGTCATATCGCAGTTTTAGGTTTCAGACTGCGCAAAACGTGTGGTAATAATGCAAGACATGAAGACATATCACAATTTTGGCTTCAAACTGTGTGGAAAATGTAAAGAATGTGGAGATACCACAGCTTTGGCTTTGAAACTCTGTAAAAAGCATGGTAATACCACAGTTTTGGCTTCGAAATTGTGCAAAAGGTGTGGTATTTCCACAGTTTTGGTTCAAAACTTGTTAAATTAAAACTGTGCAAAACGTGGCGTAATATCACAGTATTCCTTGTAAAAAAGCACAGACAGATAGCGTGCTTCATGTCTCTGTCACAACAAGACATGGGATGCCAAACCAATGATTTTACATAGCTTCAAAACTGTGATTGTGAGGGTGCAGCCATTCACAAAACATATTCTAAGAAGTTATAACATGTCTAATCATGTGCACACATGTGGCAAGCACTAGTCCCTGAATTTATTGACCGCCCTGCCCCCTCCTCCCAAACATACAATTTTAGACAACATAGTCGGAAACAAAATACATTTTTGTTCTTTGCTTTTTGTTTTTCCCTTTTCCCTTCGATTTTGCAGCCTCAAACCCACTCCTTCACTCCTAATTAACATCGGCAAGATTAGAAAAGCTCTGCACCATGGGCAAGTGCCCGGCAGATGGCCAAGGTCGTGCGCTGGGAGGGCGCCGCAGAGCGTTTAAAGAGCCAGGCTACTGCCTAACGTTGCTTTCCTGAAGCCACTAGAAAAGCTCTGGGCAAGCGCCCGGCAGATGGCCAAAGTCGTGCGCTGGGCAGCCGGGGGGAGCCGGAGCGCTGCAAAAGGCGCCGGCAAAAGCGCCGGGCAGGGTTTAAAGTTTAAAGTTTAAAGCCAGGCTAGTGCCTAACGTTGCTTTCTGAAGCCACTAGAAAAGCTCTGGGCAAGCGCCCGGCAGATGGCCAAAGTCGTGTGCTGGGCAGCCGGAAGGCTGCAAAAGGCGCCGGCAAGGGTGCCGGGGAGGGTTTAAAGCCAGGCTACTGAAGGCGCCCGGCAGACAACCAAAGTGCTTAACGTCGCTTTCTGAACCCACTTTCTAACTGAAAGCCGAGCCAGATATAGCAAAAGACCTGACCCAGGGCCGCGCTGCAGACCTGAATGACACTTTTCCTTGGACGCACTCCCCCTGCAGCACGCTGGGGTCGGCGGATATATTGGTTTCCTTATTATACTTTACTCAAGTGCATACTGTAGAATAGACTGTGTATCATTTGAATCATCGTTTGGATCATCGCGCCGAGGATCTGAGCAGGGCTAACCTGACGGGCGCAGATCTGGAAGGTGTGAAATGGGAAAAAGAACATCCGCCCAAAGGGCCTGCGAGATGCGACCCATTAGACGAAGTGAAGTTCCCAAAACGGAAGGGTCGCATCAGCTTCGCACAGGCCTGGATGCACTTCTTGAAGAAGTTGAATCCCTGTACCTTGGCCCATGACTAACTCACTTCTGAAATTGGTTGTTTTAGGTGTTTTAAGTGTTCTAGGCGGTATTTTTTGTAAAGTCTATCTTTGTGTTGCCCAGTCTTCAGATGTTAGGGGCGGATGAAGACGAGGAAGAAGAAGATGGAGGCGACGAGAGCGAGGAAGAGGACGAGGACGAGGAAGAGGATGGTACAGTGGAGGATGAAGCTGGGGGTGAAAAACCTGCAGTCGGTGAAGGCCAGAAAAATCATGATAATCACTTCTGATCCAAAGATGTTTTTCCGACAAAAAACCCAAGGCCATCCAAAGATGTGAATTGTTTCTTTGAACACCTTGACCGTGGAAACTCCCCGAGGCGACGGAAGCAATGAATGCTGCATACCCCTCCTGGACTGCGGGAGTGACATTGCAAAGGACATTCAGAGCGAGGTGCAGGCGCGGAGTAATTCATGGAATTTTCATGATGCTTCGTTCACAAAATCATGGTATTTGCAAGGTTTTGTAAAAACGTGATAAAAAAAAGTCAAGTCGTATTTCCACTGGGGCCGGCTACCAAAAGTGCGTTTCGTGTGGAACGTTCATCGATTTTCAACACGTCTGAGAAGAATTATGGATTTTTTCTTCTGTTGGCCAGATTCAGTCACATCTGTTCCACCAGTCATTCAGCATAATTCATTTTTCGACTCACCCTTGCAAGTTGTTCAGCGTCGACTCTTAGTCTTGATACAAAATATAACATTAACAGAAACATCATGTTGCGTAGCATCTTCATGTTGCGTAGCATCGTCATGTGTAGCATCGTCATGTTGCGTAGCATCGTCATGTTGCGAAACATCTTCATGTTGCCTGGCATCGTCATGCTGCGTAGCATGTTCATGTTGCGTAGCATCTTCATGTCGCGTAGCATCTTCATCACATGTTGCGTACCTTGTCCCCTGCGGTTGCTGCGTAGAGCTGTGAGTTGCGTAGCATCCACAGACGTTATCAGTGCCCCACCCCACCCCCATGCCACATGTGGCGTCGCATCTTCATCACAAGAACATGAAATTTGCATTTTGCCATCGGGTCGTAAATGGCGCCGTTGGCGAAAACAAGTAAATAGAACCTTTCACTTTATATCATTTTACTTTGTGGAATAAACTGGGATAAACTCCGTCGCAAACAGATTTTGACATACTTTCTGACACACATGGAGCTGTTTTTCTATATGTAAGAATCGGGACTTCTCAGGGTCAGATTCAAAAAATGACATGGCAATGATTTAGCTTTTTTTAAAGTCTCGTAAAAGGTGTTTTTAAAGCCTCTATAGGCAAAAGGTGAACGCAGGGGGTACGAGTGCAAATGAACGTGGTGACGGACGTGCGTACGACCCAGCGTACGTGTAAGCGTACGAGTGGACGGACGCGTGACGTACGAGTGGACGGACGTGTGCGTACGAGTGGACGGACGTGTGAGCGTACGTATACGTGCGTTGACACGCTCACCCGTCACGTGCGCGTGCACGTACGAAAATAAGGTCGACTCGAGTCAGCCTTATTTCTGTACGTCTCGGTTTTTCCTTACATATTTAGTATTGATTCAGACGTGCACCCAGAGATGCGTATCGTAGGGGTGAAGAGCTTGATGCTTGATATGAGGGGTGAAGGCATTGATATGGCGATATCGTGCTGATATCCCCTAGTTTCTGGGGTTTGCCTGATTTTTTTCTTGTTTCTTTGAAGTTTCCAGCAGGGTTTCTGCGTTTCTCGGTAGTTTTTGACGAAGTGAAGTTTCCAACTTTTTTTTTCTGTTTCTCGGATTGTATAGAATTGTGGTACAAGATGTTTTCACGTTGTTGGCATGCATGCAGGGGTGATGTTGTAAGTGCAACCTAGTAGTTGTTTCCTTTTCCCGATTTCGAACCTGTGATGATTTGCCGCTCAAGCATGTCATTAGAGAATTTGGCTTGGTAGATGTGGTTAGCTACACGGGCTCATTTCAATGTTAAAAGTTTTCCGGCATGTGCTCATGCATGTCTTTCACGACGTACAACACTCAGACATTATTGGCTCGTTTACCTTCCCCTCGGTTCTGTGCAGTGCTGCAGCAGCACTATTGCGTCAGGACCCCGTTGACCATTTTCGGTGTTTGCACTTTGTACCAGCAAAAGCTCAGGGCCACAGGAGATGCACTGTTAAATCTTGGCAGCTCTCGGGCTCAGAGAAAAATGAGCGGTCACTCTTCCAATGAATGTGAGGGTGAAACGCAGCATGTTGAGGCCAGGATATTTGGAGGTCTCAAGAGTTCCCGATTTTAATGTGCAACCTCATGTATAGGCAGCTCCGAAGTCCCGCAAGGAAAGATGGATGGCAGCTGCCGCGCGCTCAGGAGTTGATATGCCGCTGCTGCAATTGTTTTCGAAGAATTTTGTGTATTTTTGGCCTAGGCAGCACCCAAATGGAAACGGGCTTCAGCTGAGCCTTCTCCAGCGCTGTCTGTGAACAAGTCGTTGCCGAAGTACCCAGCGAAAAAGTCTGCTCCAATGAGTGTCCCGCCACAGGATCCTGGGAGGAAGCGGGTGGCCGACCAAGAGAAGAAACTGATGGAAATGAAGGACGTTACCCGCATCCACTGTTGCAATTTACACGGGATTTTCTTCTTTAAGATTCTTTTCCAGGAGCACTTGGAACGAGCTGAGCGAAACGTAGCTCCCAAGAAAATGCCGGTGCCACCAGCGGTTGTGGAGCCAACGGGTGTGAACCCGCCCAGTCCAGTGGCAGCAAAGGCGTTGCCTCCTGAAACCTCCACGCCTCCAAGTGGAGGCCCAGGCCACTGCAAGGTGACTGCTCACCAAGCTGCGCAAGGCATGTGGATATACAGGCTTGGTTGAATCCTTTTGCGTTTGGTGGTTTTGTCCACCTTGTTTGGTCACATAAGATGGGCCCAGTGTTTGTGGAGGCGCGCGAATGGCAGCACTGTTCGAGTACCTTGCCCACCGCCGAAGCCGGCTGTGCTACCGGGTCCATGGAGGCACCGCTGCCGAGGTTTTAATTTTGCAAGCAGATCGATTTCATGGTCATGGCATGATGTCATGGCAATTAGCCTGCATGCAGACCTCCTCCGCCGCCTCCAGCAGTGAAGTGGTGGACTTAGCGGAAAAGAAGCAAGTTCAATATGAGGTAATTGGACCAATATTGTTTCAGGCGTGGGGGCTCTGCGCCGAATGTTGAGCAGGACAGGCCCCTTGGTGACCTATTCGTTTGTCTTCTGTGTGTCGGCTTTTTTTGCCAGGCCAAATGATTTGGGGCATGGCGCGGCGAAGCTTGTGCTGAGATGATATGGAAAAAATGTGCATGCACTGCGTGCATTGTCCGTACTTCTGCACGCATAGGCTTTTTCTCAGCGGTCTGGTTCTTGGTCTACTTTTTGGTCTTGTTGGGCCTGCTTGAGGTCCATGTTTCGCGTTGCTTCCTTCTCAGCACAAGTCGTTGCTGCCAGCTTTGCACAGCCAACTTTGCTTGTCTTGCAGGCGCGTCTGAACTCAGGTGATGGACTATGACTACTTCGGTCGGGGCCTTAGTCTTGCATGCACATTAGGCATTGCATTCATGACACATGCATTGGACTGATCCACGCATGCACATGCATAAGTTTCATTGAAAACATGCATTCCCTTCATACCGCATGCATGCCATTCATGAAACATGCATGGCATTCATGCGGCATTCATGCAACATGCATGGTCATTCATTAAAAAAACATGAGGCACCCATGGCATTCATGAGATTATTTCATGAAACATGCATGGCATTCATGGTCCATGCATGTCATTCATGAGGCAGGCAAGGCATTCATGAAACATGCATGGCATTCATGAGGCACGCGTGGCATTCACGATGCATGCATGGAATTCATGAGGTACTCATGGCATTCATGAGGCATGCATGCATGCATGCCTCAGATGGGACATGCGCGAACGTCACCATGCAGACATACACATCAAGTATGTCTGTCTGTTTTGTATGCAAGTTTAGTTGAGCTTGTTCTTGTCCACTAGTTGTTTTGACCAGGCTTTTCGGAGACATCGGTGGTGGAACGGGTCAGCATCAAGTGCCCCGTGCCATCTCAACTGTCACTTTCTGAAAGCTTGGCATGTTTAAATGTTGACGCATGACCCCCGTGTAAAATGCAGCTGTTTCAGCTTGGTTATCCATACAAAGGGAAGCATGCCACGTGGTTTAGTGCAGCTCCAAAAGGAGCCCCGCTTAGTTGACAAGTATGTCGAAGCCTTTGCGAATGAGCCTGAGCTTAAGCAGGCAAGATTCCTGAAGGTATCACGCTGCCTTTTTGGTATGAACTTGTGTTCCGCTGTGCGTGCCTCTTCAGGTGGGCTTTTCCTTTGTGAAAGCCTTCTCGAAAGATCTGTTTGGATCCAAGAAGCCCGCCTCTTTGAAAGACGTGGAATTGAACCCGCAGGCACGGTCTGCTCTGTTCCTTTTTTTGGAATGCTGAAGTGATTTTTTTGGTTTTCGTGGCAGGCAGTATTTGCAGTCATGAGCGTCAGTCCGAATGGGCGGCTGAGTGAGGAGGTCCTGGCCCACTCCATAGAAGGCTTCTACACCCAGAGTTCTTTGATTCCAGCAGGAATTGCCATAGAAGCTTTGGCCCCATGGTCTGCCAAGATGGCCTGTGGGCTACGCAAATGTGTGGAGAAGTTCCGCAAAATTTACCGCGAGAGACCTGGCAAGTCCAAGAGCGAGAAGCTCACTGCGCTGAAACTGCGCATGAAGAATGCCAAATGTGAGCCATCTCCTGACGCTCATACTGGCGTGGAGCTGGAAGAGGACGATCTGAATGAGGTGGTCCAGCCGCACTGCCAAGCCAGATTTGGCCGCTTTGGCATTGAAAATGAAAAAGCACAGGGAAGCCTTAGCCGCAGCTGCCCGCCCAGTGGCCACCCCAGCTCGCAGCAACTACCAGCTGCCGGACTTTGTGGTCACCAGTTTGGCAAACCAGGCTGCTGACCCACCGGAACCTTTTGCAACCAAATCCGGGGAAGACGGCCAGCTGGCTGAGGCTCAGGCGGGTGAGGCCAAGACAAAAAAAGCACCGAAACGGAAGGCGAAGAAGAACAAGAGTGGCCGCAAGAAATCTGTGGTAGCTGGCCCTGAAGAGGAAGCAGCATTGGCACTTCCTTCAGGAATCTCTGCTGGGGCAGTTGCTGAAGGGCCAAGAGTGGAGTCAAGTGGCTCTTCCGACCAAGCGTTGGGCACTGAGGGTGCGACATACCAGCCGAGGGTCTTTAGCAAGGCTCGACTGGCGTACATTGCTGAGAAGAGAAAGGATGGCGCGACCTTCAAGCAGGCCAGTGGCATGTGGATGGCCTCCAATGAGAGAGCCACCTACTTGGCGACGTTGAGCCCATCTCAACTGAAGAAACGCCGCTTCCTTTAATTTGTTTTCTTCTGCGGGGAAATCCTCGCTTGAAATTCAAGTACTATATAGTTGACTGGCAGGGGCGCGCCGGCTTCGGGAAAAATCGTAGATGGCATTCATTTCACAATAGGTCTGGAGCTGAACACTGTCAAGAGAAATCAAGACAAGTTTGGATGCTGTACCCGAGCCTCTTTGCTCAAGGCTTTCTTCACATGTATCATGGGGGTAGCGGAAATGCTTCACTGGGGTGTGCCCCTTCCAGCAATAGTCCTTATGGTAATGATGTGCCACTGTGGCCCGTTGGAGAGCTCACAGGCGCGATTGCTTTTTTGTCTTCGACACATTTTGATACAGTTTTGTGTCTTTTCTTGCAGCGCTCAGGTATATGACTTTTGCGAATACTTCTGTGGAGAGCATCGTGTCTCGACTGCTCTCCGCCAAGTCTGGGCCCAAACGCAAGTTTTGCACATCGTTGGAAAGGTCTAGATAGCGATCTCAGTGAGGCTGGCTATGTCGGTGCCTGCATGGATATATTGCTTGATGATGGCCACCACACATTTGACTTTCTCAGTGAAGCCGGCTTCCTGCCTGAAGCTGAGATGGCATTCTGTGAAGGGGTCCAAGCTACCAAATTCTTCTTCGTCTCTCATATGCCAGGTCCGCTTTGCAGGCAGTCCGCCGCTGCAAACGTGGAGCCTTGCATATCATTGCAATTTGCTGCAACAGTTTCTGTTTGCCGTTTCTTGACAGCAGGTTGCTGCACGTGTGTCCGGCGGCTTTCTTTTGTATTTTGCAGACATGTTTCTCAGGTGTGCAGGAACGCATGGGCGTAGCCTCATTTTCCCCTTGGGAAACCAGGGATACCGCTTCGTGCGGGAAGGGAATCTCTTAGCGAGCCGTGTGTGCATCCTCATCCTGGTCATTTGCAGTCAAGGATGCCGATTTGTACTAGAACAACCACAGGGTAGTTTCTTGGAACACCACCCCAGGATGTCTTGGCTTTTTACTTTTTTGAAGCTGGTTCGTGCTGCCTTCTGGGGTGGCGCGTTTGCTGCTTCACCGGAGAGTGCATCAGCAAAGAGACACATTTTATGGTCCAACGATCCTCCGACGTTGAAAGCTGTGGAAACAGCTGCCGGACACCTGTCCAAATCCCAGCTGGAAAGTTTTGGCATGAGTCTTGTGAACAAAAAAAGGCGGCAAGATGGATCAATGGCCTTCAATGGAAATGGCAACATGCGAGGCTCCCAGTTACTTGGTTGCACTAATGTGGACCCAAGTTATCCAGTTTCAACATTGGCTGTGTTATCTCTTCTTCTCTGGGCAGGGCCTACCACGAACGCTTCGGAACTTTTCTGGCGCAGCTGATGAGAGACATGGACACCACCTGGGAGGCCGCGCTTAAGTAGGTTTGGTAGATCATTGCATGGAGCACCATTGGCCCGTTCCAGGGGCAAGTTCTGGCACCTAATCCTTCCCGAACGGTGTCGTGGGAGAAATCAGACCTGGAGCTTTTCAAGGCACGCAGCATGCTCATAACCTCTTCCCTTTTCCGCCCCTGTCCTTTCTCACCACAGCAGGACATAGACTTTACAGATGCTGACATGTGGTCAGATGCTGGAAGCTCATAGATGGCTCTTCCTCTGGAAAGTCCTCTGTGCAATTGACACATTTGCTCCCTTGAGGCAGAGTTGGCTCCATGTTTGCGCTATCTTTGGCGCAGCCGCAAGTTTCAACCCACATCCCAATGGGAAAAGCCATTGACGCATGCTTTTTCACTCTGTGCCACACAAAGCTGACTCATATGCCTGCAATGTGCGTTTGGAAAATTGATAAGCTCTCATGCGTGCCACAATCCATATACTGCTTTGGGGTCCTCTTCGTGTTGTTTTTTTTGCACACCCGGGTCACCCGGGAAAAAGCCGGGATATCGACAGGATCACCCCGGGAATCGACGGGATCACCCGGGAATTTTTCCCCGACCAAACATGAATGGATTTGCATGACTCCTTCAGCTTCTTTTTGACGCAATGGTGCCATTTGGGTTCTGACCTGTCTCGCGCAGGCCTTTTGGTGCTCGCTCGTGTCCCGTGCCTCCATAAAGCCTGTGTGGCGCCCATGTCCGTCGAGGAGGAATTTTTGCCTCTCTATGAGGAGTTGTTGAAGACTGGCCCGGTCGATGCTCCGCGGCTTGCAGAGAACACTGGGCTGGAGCCTGAAGAGGCCGACCTGGTCTTGAAGTGCATAGCTGACTACTTGGAGGAGCACAACCAGAAGCCCCCCATGAAGAGGCCTGCCAAGAGCGAGCCCAAGGCCAAGCAGTCGGCCGCCAAGAGGAAAGCGAAGGCCGCTCCTGTTTTGGAGGAAGCTCCCGCAGCAGGGTGTGCTGAGACACAACTGGACCGACAAGACACTCAAGCAGTTGACACGGAAGAGATGGCATCTTCGCCTGCTGCTGACACCTCCGCTGGAGTGGATGACGATGCCAGTGAGGTGCCTGACAAGAGCCCTGCCACCACGGTGCCTGGAGACCTTAAGGATCCTGATGACACGGTGAAGGACCGAAGCCTGGAAAACCACTTTTCCAGCAGCCAGCTTCGTGTGGGCATGTTTCAATGACCACTCCTGAGGACGAGCTGAAACACCAGGGGACTCAGAGGCCGTAATGTTTACGTGCTCTGCCTGCAGACTTTTGTCTCACATTTCCTGTTTCTTTTCTGGCAGCTCGTTGGCGACACTGCTGCGTGGACAAAACCTACTTCGCGAGCAGCAGAGCAGTCTGGACCTGACGCAAGATGATGCGTCACAGTTGTCTGGGCCTCAGCTTTGGATGTATTTTTTGACTTTTCACGCATGTGGGTTTCATGCATGGAGGGTTGCATTCATTGGGGCTCACGCATGCGGGATCCATCAGGGTTTCATGTATGGAGGGTTGCATGCATGGGGGTTCACGCATCAGGGTTCAGGCATGAGGGTCATGAGGGTTTCACGCATGGCGGGTTGCATGGGGGTTCACGCATCAGGGTTCATGCATGAGGGTTTCACGCATGGAGGGTTGCATGCATCTGGTTTCACACATGAGGATTCATGCATGAGGGTTTCACGCATGGAGGGTTGCATGCATGGGGTTTCACGCATGAGGGTTCATGCATGAGGGTTCACGCATGGGGTTTCACGCATGGATTTCACGCATGAGGGTGCACACACACAAACATGCATGATGGCTCATATGTTAATCAACATTTGACTCTGCGACTTTCGTATGCTCTGTCATCGCTTCAGGCACGGGCAGCCTGATGTCGGATCTCAGTTGGAGCTTCCGCGCGTTGCAGCTGAAGCGTTGTCTGGCCTTCCCGAGGGACAGCTTCCAAACAGCACAACACACAAGAAGCAATGGAATGTTCTGGTCCGTGTGGCCACGGGTCCCCGCAGCACCCAATTTCCAGAGATAGCGCAAGTCTTTACGACTGGCTCCAGGATTCAGCAGAGGGAGTGTTTGCAGAGGTATCTGCAAAAGGGCGAGAATTTGGAGCAGTGTGAAGGTACTTTCACTGCGGAGAAAGAAAGTGCAACGGAGATCCGCGGAATACGAGAGCAACTGACAATCAAGGAGATGAGAGAAAAAGGATTTTCAGAGTCCGGCCCTCATATGGCTGCTTCTGTTTCTGGCAATATTCAGCCAATCCCCTTTTTTCCGTTTGTGTCTCTTTGAAAAAGACTCTGACATGTCTGACTGAGGGCGAAAATCCGCGGGTGCGTTGAGCGGGGGGGCGAGGCCGACCCTGACGCCCCGAACTGCATGGAATCTATGAGATTCTGGTGTTTTGTTCACAAGAAAGAAGAAAATTTGGAAGCTACTCGGATGAAGACAGCCGTCCAAACACATGTCGACCCCAGCCATGTGTTGCAAGCCTTGACTGCTTCGGCTCCGTCCTTCTTGAACAGAGTGCCAGATGTGACAGCTCTGCTCAATTCTCAGCCGGCTCTGGCACCTGCTGCGGCGCCTCAAGCACCCCCGCCGCCCCCTTCAAACCGACGAGGTGTGAGTGAGTATGGATCGGTAGTCCTTGAAAGATTTTCCCACCTGGTGCTTTTCTTCCGTCTTTACAATATATGTTCATTATAGATATTAAAAATATACCATGCTAAACGCATTTCTTTCTGTTGTCATGCACACTGATCAATCAGCTGCGGGAAGGTGCTGCGAAGGCAAAGACACAGCCGAAGGCCAAGGGATCTGGACCTCTGGGGTTAGCCTTGGCTGGAAAAACCCTGGCGGAGAAGATCCAATTGGCACGTGCTGCTCTGAGCTTGTGTTTCTGCGGTTTGCCACTGCAGGATGCAGGATGGCCGTCCGTGTGACTGCCCCTACATATGCTCTTGCTCATGAGGCACCGAGTTGAAGAAGGAGCTGGGCAGCCTTAATAACCTTCAGGTGGACCTCAAGGGCAACTCTGCGGCGCATCCGAAGTTTGCTGCAGGGCTGGACGAGCTGGTGGTTCACTCCGACAACTTGACTGACCTGTTCACCAGGCCAGCAACAGAAGCATGCATCTTGCACGCTCGAGCAGTTTCAGCGGCAGGGTTGGAGACTGATGTCGACTTTGACCAGTGGCTGCAAGATGCTGCTGATGAGGTCACCATTGTCAGTGTGATGATTGTTTTTTTTTTTGCTTGGCCCTTCTTTCAGGTCACCAATTCCCGGCTGAAGCGGGCGGAGCTTGGAGCTGTTCTGAAAGAGTTCAAGAAGCGCCAACCTCAGAAATTCACATGCCTACTTTCCATGTGGCATTTTTCCCTCGCTGCGCCCAGGGGATACAAGTGAGCACGTGAATGAACTTTTGGGCTGTTGCCAACATTGGAAAGTTGGCGTCAGAGATGCGGACATGAAGCATCCAAATTTTGAACCTGGGAGATTAGATCTGCGAACGCTCTGGATCTGAACGGAACGCCTGGCAGAAAAAAAAAAACAATTTCAAGCGGGCACACTGTGCTCATCTGCATGCACCCTGTGCCAACTTTTCGCTTCTAATAGTTTCTCAAAACAACCTTTTCCGACTTGCAAGGTACTGCGGAACAGCTGCGTGAAGATTTGGACAGGAGGCAGCTCCTCATGTGTGGTGCTGTTGCTTTCTTCTTATGTTTTGCCGCAGGATTGCAGGTGAGGTTGGGGATGGCAAAGCTTCAATCAGCTTGGCATCCCGCCTTGGCCAAGCTTACCAATCGACTGTGCAGTTGCGGTCCCTCCACATGCAACTGTGCATGCATTTGATTCTGCTTTGAAGTGTTACTCTTTGCTTTTGCTTTCTGGGTTCCTCGTGAGGCCTCATTCAAATGACGCTCGTGTATATAGCCGTCTTGTGAAAAAAAACTTGGCGTTGCAAAACGTGATTCAGTATGTCCAACTGCCGATGCTGGATGCGGACGGTCAAGTTCGAATGATGGACTGGCCGGTGATTCTGCCACATGTGCTGGCCGGGAGCTCATTTCCGTCACTTTCTTTCCCAGAAATAATTAGCTGCCTTCCGGGTTTGAGGCAAATGAACTGATCGAGTCTGGTTATGATGACGTTCTTGGGTGCGGGTCCTGTGACTATTGGAACACTCTAAGCCAACAATTTGGCATTGAACCACCACCGGATGGAAAGAACGCTGTAGGCATACAATTTTTTGGAGATGAAGCTGAGATCTACAAGACCAGTTCCTTCATGTGTTTTAGCTGGATGAGTGAAAACACACCTTTCTGGACTGACGCAAAGAAGAGCAGGTTCTTGATATGTCTCCTGCCAGTTGACTCTTACTATATCGAAGGGCAGGTCAATGTCACGGTGCAAGAGGTCATGAAGCATGTGGCTGCGTCCCTTAATGAATGGCACGAGCATGGAGTTCAAAACTTGTATTCCCGCTTTTGCAGCTTGAAAGGAGATTGGAAATGGCTTGAACAATGTCTGAACCTTCAACGGAAGCCTTCCAAGGATGAGATATGCTTCCTTTGTATGGCAACAAAATCAATGACCAGACCCATGACGGATATTGGGCCATCTGCTTGCTGGAAACACGATGTTGCACCAAAACCGTGGAATGTGGAGCCGCAAATCTGTCAGGTCAAGGGCTTTTCTTTAAGCCTGGTTTCCCTCGACATCATGCATATTTGGCATCTTGGATTTGGACGCGACCTGGCATCGTCGATTCTTCTAATTCTGCTACGCTCCCATGTTTTCCATGGCTCCAACGCAACTCGTCTCCAAGAGCAGCTGTGTATAATGTGTGATGTAGTTGATAAATTTCTGCTTTGTGTCGTGGTGTTAACAACGGTGAGCATATGTAAATGCATATCGTGCACCTACATATACATATTCCTATATATATATATACATCTTTCTCTCTCTGTCGTCTTCTCTCTTAGAGATATTTGCCTTTTCGCACTTTGCTCAGTAATTTAGACAACTTTTGAGTGGGCCAGGAGCACACGTGAGCTGAGGTAGCTGCTCGAATGCATCGGGCCAGCCGCATGATTGTGAATTGGTCCCGCAACAATGGAAAACGCAAACTTCCAAACAGCTGGCATTTGACAAAAGCAAAACTTTGCCTTAAATCAGGGTCTTATTGCCACATGTTGGGGAAGGCTTGGCATACCACTGTCGTGTTGCAGTTTTTGGCTTCGTTTCTGCCAAGCACCAATGTTGATCCATTGATCAAAAGTGCTGTTTGGGCCGCTGATTCGGTTATAGGGCTATTGACAGAGAGCCGCGCAGAGGGTATCTTTCTGAGCCCGGAAGAAATTTCTCAAGTGCAACACGTCGGACACTTTCTCTTGGATTCATATTTGCGGCTTCACAGGAAATACACCGGCTTCTGCGTATACAAGCTTTTTAATTTGCGTCCGAAAGTGCATTTATTTGACCACTTGATTGCTTCTGCAAAGAAGTTGAGAAACCCGCTATGCAGTGCCACATTTATGGATGAAGACTGGATTCGCCTTACCATGCAGTTGGCAAGCAAGTGCCACAAACGTACAGTGCAGTCGGCGACCCTGCAACGTTACTGCGCAGGACACTGCTGATTGCAATGCAATGCATGCAGTGACGCACGGTGCGTGAAGTGGCACCCCTACCCCAGGATTGAAAAAAGAGATGGAACTTGCCAAAGCCCTCCTCTGTTCAGAGCTCAGATGGCTTCCATCATGCTGACGTGCATGGAGGGTTGCATGCATGGGGGTTCACTCATGAGGGTTCAAGCACGAGGGTTTCACTCATGGACGGTTGCATGCATGGGGGTTGCACGCACGAGGGTTCATGCATGAGGGTTTCACGCATGGAGGGTTGCATGCATCCGGTTTCATACATGAGGGTTACACGCATGGGTGTCAGGAATGAGAATTCACGCATGATGGTTAATTCACGTTTCACTTACTTTCGAAATTGCTTCGCTGATAGAGGATCCGGGACCTTTACTTGAAGTTGGCAAAGCCCTGCACCCAGCGCAATCCCTTTGCTGCTGCTTTCAAGCCGGTTTTGGAATTTTTGCTTCATGAGGCCTGGTGCCTGAGAGATGGAAGGGGTTTCCACTAGAAGATATCTGTTGTTTCCAAAACTGGAAAAAGAAACTGGGTGTGCGCGCTGAAGGCAATGCCTCTTCACCCGTGGTTCTTGTGCAGATTTGTGTGGGCAAAGTTGTTCTAAACATAAAGGGCTGAAAAGATCCCAAACCACCAAAAGGGGAGATGACATTGATATGGGGCTATCGTCGGGATCACCCCTATGACATGCATCTTTGGGCAGAAATAAGGCCGACTCGGGTCGACCTTATTTTCGTACGTGCGCGCGCACGTGACGAGTGAGCGTGTCAACGCACGTACGTACGCTCACACGTCCGTCCACTCGTACGCACACGTCCGTCCACTCGTACGTCACGCGTCCGTCCACTCGTACGCTTACACGTACGCTGGGTCGTACGCACGTCCGTCACCACGTTCATGTCACCAGACGTACGCTCTCCAAGATCACTACCTTTTACGAGACTTCAAAGAAAGCTAAGCAATGATCTTAAGTTGCATGTGGTGCTCCATTATAAATGGGGGTTTCCGGGTATCCTCAAATGGATGGGTTTTGTTTCTATGATGGAAAGTTGTATTCAAATGGATGATTGAGGGTTACCCCATTTAGGAACCCCCCATGCATATGATAAATACACCGACATTTACGCTGACAAAAAGATGATAGATTGGTTTATTTATTCATTTTCATATTTACATGTTTATATTCTGAGAGATATTCCGATTGATTTTCTGACATATATTCTAACATGTACTCTGACATATTAGCTGACATGTAGTCTTAGATATAGTCTGAAATTTATTATTTTAACATGTAGCCTGCCTGACATGTATTCCGACGTATATTTTTTCATTTTTTTCTGGCATATATTCTGACATTGATTATGACATATTTTCTGACATCTTTTTTCGACAACACATGCTGACGCTTAGCTGGACATAAATCATGACATAATTCTGACATGTGTCTGACAATGACTCTGACATGTGTCCTGACTTCCAGTCTGACATTCATTTAGGCGTAACGTAAACTCTTGCCCTATCATTTTCCCGAATGCGTAGCAAGGGTTCCCGTTTCACTCTGGGGGTCTGGGGGCTGAGGGTGTGTTCGCACGACGTTGCGTTTGTGGTCGCAACCGTCCGCAACTGTCCGCAACCGTCCGCAACTGTTCGCAACCGTCCGCAACCGTTTGCAACCGTTCGCGTGAGGACCGTATGGCCGTGCCTATGGTAAGTTCTGCAGAGGTGGTCATTTTTGGAAGTTTCAGACGTCTCGTTGCTTCGTTTCGCGTGGCAGGCATGGCACTTCGTGACATTCAGACGTGTTTTGTAACGTGTCGAAAGTCGTTTTGTGTGGCAGATGCAATACTTTTGCGACGTTTTCAGAAGATGCGTTGCAGTTTTCGTGGCAGGCGCGACACTTTGGACGTGCCCATCGTCATTTTTCGTGGCCGTTGCAGCACTTTAGACGTTTCGTGTTGCGTGTTTTTGCGAATCGCATTGGCAGGGCTGCGTCAAGTGGCGACAAGTTGCAAATTCGGTGGCAAGCGTGGCATTTTGTAACATGTGCTGAAAATTGACGGAAGCCTCGCACGAAACATCGATTTTGAGATTACAAAATTTAAAGGTTCCTACGAAAACTCGTAGGAAAACCTCGATTTGGAAGCTACAAAGTGTGAAAATTGGAGGAAGTCTCGCACGAAATGCTCGTTTTGGTGCTCCCACCTGTCTCGTCTCGGGTCACTGGTTTTCTGGTGGCTTCGCTGTGTCTATGGGGGAAGCTGCAAAACATGTCCTTTCGGCATGTTTCAAATTGTGAAAATTGGAGGAAGTCTCGCACGAATGATCGTTTTGGTGCTCCCACGCGTCTCGTCTCGAGTCTCTGGTTTTCCTGTGGCGTCGCCGTGTCTATGGGGGAAGCTGCAAAACCTCCTTTTCGAAGGTTTCCAAGCAGGCTGTCATGTCGTTTTGCGTGGCAGGCGTGGCACTTTGTGACATTCCAACCTGTTTGATAACGTGTCGAAATTGTCAAAATTGAAGGAAGTCTCGCACAAAATGCTCGTTTTTCTGCACCCACGTGTCTCGTCTCGAGTCTCTGGTTTTCCTGTGGCGTCGCCGTGTCTATGGGGGAAGCTGCAAAACCTCTCCTTTTCGAAGGTTTCCAAGCAGGTTGTCATGTCGTTTTGCGTGGCAGGCGTGACACTTTGTGACATTCTGTTTGATAACGTGTCGAAATTGTCAAAATTGGAGGAAGTCTCGCACAAAATGCTCGTTTTTCCTGCACCCACGTGTCTCGTCTCGAGTCTCTGGTTTTCCTGTGGCGTCGCCGTGTCTGTGGGGGAAGCTCCGCACTCAACACTCTACACTTTGCACTCCACACTCCACAATTTACACTTTATTAGACTCCACACTTTACACTTTACACTCCATACTTTACACTTTGCACTTTACACTCCTCACTCCTCATTCGAGACTTTACACGTAACACTCCACACTTTACACTCCACACTCCTCACTCCACACTTTACACTCTACACTTTACACTCTACACTCTACACTTGACATTTTGCAATCCAGACTTTACACTTCACACTGCTCACTCCACACTTTACGCTCCACACTCCTCACTTTACACTCCACACTCCTCACTTTACCCTCCACACTCCACACTTCTCACTTTACACTCCGCACTCCACACTCTACACTTTCCACTCCACACTCCACACTCCACACTTTACACTCCACATTCCACACTCCACAATTTACACTTTAGACTCCTGACTCCACACTCCACACTCTACACTATAGACTCCACACTCCACACTCCACACTCTACACTCTACACTTTCCACTTTCCACTCCACACTCCACACTCTACACTCCACACTCCACACTTTACACTTTACACTTTACACTCCTCACTCCACACTCCACACTTTACACTCCACACTCCACACTCTACACTCTACACTTTACACACTACACTTTACACTGTACACTCCACACTCGTCACTTTACACTCCACACTCCACACTCTACACTTTACACTCCGCACTCCACACTTTACACTCCGCACTCCTCACTTTACACTCCACACTCCACACTCCACACCCTACACTTTCCACCCCACACTCCACACTTTACACTTCACACTCTACACTTTACACTTTACACTCCACACTCTACACTTTACACTCTACACTTTTTACACTCTACACTTTACACTCTACACTTTACACTCTACACTCCACACCCCACACTCTACAATTTACAAATTCCACACTCCACACTCCTCACTCCTCACTCCACACTTTACACTCCACACTCCACACTCCACACTCCTCACTTTACACTCCACACTCCACACTCTACACTCTACACTTTCCACTTTCCACTCCACACTCCACACTCTACACTCCACACTCCACACTTTACACTTTACACCCCACACTCCACACTCTACACTTTACACTCCACACTCCACACTTTAAACTCCACACTCTACACTTTCCACTCCACACGCTGCACTCCACACTCCACACTGCAGACTGGTAACAGGGGAAATATGCACAAGACTGTTCAAATAAACTATTGCAGAAAAGTGTTCTGAGTGATTGCATATCCATGTGTTTTGACATCTGTACCATTAACATACGTGTGAGCATTCGGGTTCGTGGGCTGCATCTTGTTTTTTTGAAATCTATTCTGACACACAGTCTGACATTTATCCGGACGCATACTCTGACATGCAGTGTCACATGTATTCTGACAGGCAAACTGACAAGCGTTCTTGACATTCATCTTGGCATAAACGCTGAGACAAATTCTGACATGCATTTTGACATGACTTCCGACATGCTACCCTCATCGCCTGGGTCTGAGTTCGAGCATTTGTGATTTGGACCTATGACGCAGAGTGTGCGCGCAGCGGTTGTAAAGAAAAGGCCCGGACACGGGGAGTCCGCGCCGGCGCCAACTCCGGCAAGCTTAGTCTTGGACGAGCGATGAGAAGGAGGAAGGACCCATTACTTGACAAATGCTTTACTCCATTATTTGTAGGCTTTCTACCGTCTAAGGTGGTGCAGGATTTCTTCCACAGTAGGAATGGCTGGCGCAAAATCTAGAGGCGCTGACCTGACAGACGGGGAACAATAATTTTCAAAGGGTTTCCCTGCTACAGAGTTGGATTTCAATGGATTGCTGCATAGATGAAAAAGCCTTTCAGAAACGGTTGTATTTCGGCAGCCCATGAAGTGTCCAACTCCGCAGTTTCAGGGTGTGGGTACCCCCACATTCCGTTCCAAGCCGGAAACGGAAGTAGCAGTCACGACTTCAAAGCCACAATCAGTTTCAACCACTGCCAAAATCGGAGAATTGTACTTTTTTTGGGACAACACATTTTTCTACAGTTTCAAAGGAGCATAAATAAACGCTCAAGGCAATACATGCAAACTTTTGCAATCGAGTTGGGGTCTCAGGATCTGCATCATGGGTCCCGGGTCATAGATCATCCAAATTCAATTTTGATTTAATGGGTGATTCCCTTTCACCCTTTCATGCTCTTGGTAAGTTTCCTGAAAATAATAGAAACTATTTACAAGCAATTGCTTTCACAAATTTCCAGGGTTTTCCCCTTATTATTTCAATATAAAATTTACTACAATTTTACTATGGACCTTAACTGGCGAACTGGATTGAAATGGTGGTCTTGGACCTCAACAATAAAAGATGCCATGTGTTTGAGGCTTGGATTCGGCTGATGCAAAATGAATGTGAATCATATATGTATTTTTTTTGTAGATACTTTGGTCCTGATTAGGGTGTCTCTTCAGGCAGCAAATTGTGCTTGACCTTGGTTGAATATAATTTCAAAGAAAGGCGCTTATCAGGGAACTTCTTCACATAGCGCATTTTCATTGATGTTTGTACTGGGGCAACGCTACAGACTGGACATGATTGGACACGTGACTTCTTAGTGAAGGAATTTGATTCTTAATGGTATTTTCAGGAACCTCTTCGGCGAGCACATGTTGATTTACCTTCGTATGTCGATACTGTTGATTAACTTTGCCTGGAAGCAGATTTCAGGTCCGGGCGTGCGCGGACATCTCCTGTATAACACATATCGCGCTTGCACTATTACTATTTTTTGGCCAAGTTTTAGCATGCTTTAACATGTTTTGTGCCTATTTGGGTGGATTTGAGCATTTATTAGGGGGCGGCGAAGGGCATACTTAAATGAAACCCTTTGTCCATGGAGCTTTTAAACAGCATGGGGCCAGACCATGGTAATGGGTGGTTATATTGCCCATCACCAAGTCTACACGATTTTCCAAGGGTTACCCGGGCAAGTTCCGATCACACGTGCCACCCATGGCCAATAAGTAGGGTAGGGCCTAGGGCTCAGAACTTTGCATTGAAGTCTCAGATTAGTTTGCCAAACAAATCTCTGCGGACTTTGTGGACCTTTTTCCCGTTGCGGCCGATTATGGGGCATGAGACGGCATGAGATCTGCTTTTTTTTTTTGGCGGATGAATTGAGATCCTGTGCCCCCGAATCGGCTGCATTTTTTTTTACGGACTTTGTTTTTTTTGTTTTTCGGCGGAACTCCACTACACAAATTGTGTACCTGACTTCTGCTGAAAAAAATCCGGCGTAACTTAGTATTTAGACCTATGGGTCGGCGGAACTCAACATCACAAAATGTGTAGTGGACTTCTGCTGGTTCAATGGTTTTCCTTAGGGTTTCTGCTGTTCTTTTTTTCTCCGGCGGAACTCAACATCACAAAATGTGCGCCTGAGTTCTGCTGATCTGTTTTTTTTTCGGCGGAAACCCATAAATCTGGTGATGCATGACTACCCATGATTCCCTGCTGCATGTTCATTTCCCAATGTGAAATTTAACCTGTACTGGCCGGCAAATGATCTAGGATCCTGACTTTGAGGACCTTGGGGTCTTAAAATCATTTAAAATCGGTCTACCTAACCATGATAATGGATTAACGCTTCTTGCTCGCGTGGGAATTTGGAATGTGAACAGTGCATGCTGGGTACATGAACATGTTTGCAGAACAGAAAGTACATAGCTATGTTCAAGGTAAATCACAGAGATATAATTATATGTGTGGAACATAAAGCAAGTCGCTCAATGTTTATTTTTGGGCTTATTGTAGCGAATTATCTATATGACTATACGTGGTTATAATTCGGCATTGGTTTGATTCAAAATCCTTGAGTTAACACATAGAAATTATATATCTTGTGGTAATGTTTTTTTGCCATTTTCAAGTTTTCCATTACATATTTCAATCTGAGTCCTGGCAAATGTGATTATTGACCCTAGCTGGTAACATGGTGAAGTAATGAAAGAGGCCATGTGTTTGAGGATTTAAATTAGGTTGCCAGAAAATGCATGTGAAACTATATGTAATTTTTTTTGTATATAGGTACTTTGGTCCTGATTAGGGAGTCCCTTCGGCAGCAAATTGTGCTTGACCTTGGTTGGATATAAACTAAAACATGCGCTTATCAGGGAACTTCTTCACATAGCGCATTTTCATTGATGTTTGTACTGGGGCGACGCTACAGACTGGACATGATTGGACAATTGACTTCTTAGTGAAGGAATTTGATTCTTATTGGTATTATTAGGAACCTCTTCGGCGAGCATATGTTGATTTACGTTCGTATGGCGATATTGTTGATGAACTTTGCATGGTTTTGGTCCAAGTGCTGCTTTCAGATTCCAGGTCCGGGTGTGCGCAGGCCTCTCCTGTAGAACAAATGTCGCACTTGTACTATCTTGTACTAATTAATAACATACAGTTTTACTTTCAGGGAGTTCTAACTATGGGGAGCACTAGGATATGAAGAAATACATGGTTCAATTCAGACCTAACAGTGATGTCCCCAAATCAAAGTCAGCTGCCCCATAATCGAATGCAAAAGTTTATGCGCGTTTATAAAAAAATGCTCGTCTGCAATGCCGCCATAATAAGTGCTACGAAACAAACTTTCAAACCCCACCCATCTCAGTCATGGACATGGGCGTGCATCCCTACACCAGCGCGGGCACTCACATTTCCAGGGTTTCATCAAGATTGCCACCGCCCTGTGGTTGTGCAGTTAATGTCCTGAAACAGTCGGCGGTCTTCATCAGGTTTTTGCACTAAAGCGTGAATTCTGAAAAGCGCACATTTTAAGCTTGCACTCGTTTGCAGGTATGTGCGCTTGTTGCTGCGGGTCGATTTTCTGCAGTCACAACTATGGAATTCAGAAGCAAAGAAGCAACAACAAACAGTCAATCTGGTTGCACAATCGCATAAAATTCCCATTCTGAACACCTGCATGGCTGATTAGGTTCATACTAGGTTCTCTAGCTGCCTCCATGACCGCAACTTTTTTTGTCCAATTCATCCAAAATGAACCGCGAGAGAAAATTGAGCCAAACGGTTCATGGGTTGCAAAGACTGTGCGCCTTTCACCGGTATTTGCTCGTTTTGCCGAAATAGGTTTCATGGGGCGTTTGAGCTCACATCATGAAGGTGCAACTATATTTGTCCGTTTGGCCCAAGTTGCATCGTTTTTTTCATGGCACAGGTGGAAGTCAAGAAGGCCTTCGACACTGTTGCAGAGGTCGTGGACGCGCGCCTGGACCAGGCAGTCAGGCAGGCCACGCAGCGGTTGGAGCTGCTGATGAAGAAGTTGGATGCGGCCGCCAAGCCCCAGGCGCGGGTTTGTCTGAAAATGGGTACCCCAAAACCCAATGGATTATCATCATTGATCGTCAATATCCGTATTAAAGCTAGCCATTCATGCGTTTCCCCATTTTCAGACCCTCAGATTTTTGATCAATTCCACTCAGTTAGATTTCCCCATGGTTGAAGAGATATATCCCAACTTATTTGGAGCTTAAAAGACCAATTCCCATAGTTATAGCTGTGAAAATACCACCCCAACTGCGCCCCCAAGTTGGAGCGTTTTTCGCGACTTGGACTGAGTGGGCACTTGAGACATCACGTCCTCTAGGGAATTTGTCGGAACTCCCAGAAGCCAAAACAAATCAATGGCTGGTTGGTGGTTTCAAGTTTCAAACATGAATTTTGTTTTAAATTTCATATATGGGACGTCATACTTCCCATTGACTCAAATCATTGGTTTTAAATACCTAGTTGTCATTGGTTATAAATAACAGATGGGTTTATTATTGCAACCGGGTTATTAATAAATACAAAATCATTTTTTCAAGATGGTTGTTGCACCACCAACCAGATGGCCTTGATCGGTTGGACTTGGGATTTTGCGGATGGGATGAGCATGGACATGACAGGGGGTCGCTCAAAACCAAGTGGTTCGATGAAACCAAGTGATTTTTTGTTTCGAATCCTCTGTGAATCCACTTGATAGTACAGCTGCAGGGTCTCAAGTGCTGAACTTTGGTGCCTGCCTTTCTGGCTGATTGCAAGCGTCGGTTTTTTTGAAGCAAAATGACCCCATATTTTCATTTCACTCCAAGGTGAAAGTGTTGAAGACCATGGTAGCGCAAATGCAAGGTGACGCCTTTAAAAAACTGGGTCGGGAGAAGCAGAACCAGTTGATCGATGCTGTCAAGCTCTTGTCAAGACTCCCAACAGTGAAGAAAGGCTTGAAGAAGTTCAACGAGCAGGTTGATGAGTTTAGGAGGAAAGTCGATGAGGTCGAAGGCAGGATTTGGCTTCTGTTCAAGCCTGAGATCTGTCATGGCATGTGGAAATTGGGCTGGTTGAGGGTCGGTGAGATTGGATCGCCCGAAGGAATTGGTCTGTCTCGCGTGCTAACCAAATTGACGAACTTGCAACTGCAAAGAGCCACTGGCAACTTGGCTTTGAGCAACGCAGCTTTAAATATATGGGGTTTTCCATAAACGGGGGTACCGCAAAATGGATGGTTTACAATTGGTGGAAAATCGCAGCCCACAAACCCGAATGCAGTCACCTAGAACGCTTTTGTGAAACAAATCAGTTTGAACAGTCTTGTAGATTTTTCCCCTGTTACCGTACCAGTGCACTGTAGACTGTGTGGAATGGGGAATGGGGTGGAGTGCAAAGTGTGGAGTGTGACGAAAGTGGAGTGTTGAGTGAGGAATGTACTGTGTAGAGTGTGAAGTGGGGATTGTGGAGTGTAAACTGTAGAGTTGTAGAGTGTGGAGTGCAGACTGTGGAGTGCAAAGTGTGGAGTGCAAAGTGTAAAGTGTAGAGTGTGGAGTGTAAAGTGTAAAGTGTAGAGTGTGGAGTGTAAGTGTAAAGTGTAAAATTTGGAGTTTGGAGTGTAAAGTGTCGAGTGTGGAGTGTACAGTGTAAAGTGCGAAGTAAGGAGTGTAAATTGTAAAGTGTAGAGTGTGGAGTGTAAAGAGTAAAGTGGAGAGTGTAGAGTGTGAAGTGTAAAGTGTAGAGTGTGGCGTGTAAAGTGGAAAGCGTCGAGTGTGGAGTGTAGAGTGTGAAGTGTGGAGTGTAAAGTGTAAAAGTGTGAAGTGTAGAGTTTGGAGTGTAAAGTGTAGAGTGTGTAAAATGTAAAGTGTAGAGTGTAAAAGGCAAAATGCAGAGTGTCCCAAATGCGACGCCTGCCACGCAAAATGACATTCCACACTTGCCTTGCCAAGCGAAATGACACTTTCATGCATGTTCTACGCTTGCCAAGCAATTTAAAAACGTTGTCCACGTCATACAGCCCTGACATTGCGATTCACGAAAAACCCGCAACGCAACTCGTCTAAAGTCTAAAGTGTTGCGCCTGCCACGCAGGATGAAGATGGACACGAAAAATGCAAGCCATCTTCTGAAAACCTTGCAAAAGTATTGTGCCTGTCACACAAAACGTTTTTCGACACTTTTTCAGACGCATGAGAATGTCACGAAATGCCACGCCTGCCATGCAAAACGACATTGGAACCTCTTTGAAAACCTTCGAAAACGAGAGGTCTTGCAGCTTCCCCCATCGACACGGCGACGCTACAAGAAAACCAGAGAATCGATACGAGACATGTTGGAGCCTCAAAACGAGGGTTTAGTTTAGTGCGAGAATTCTTTAAATTTTCACACTTTGTTGCTTCAAAATCAACATTTTCCTACGACCACCTCAAAATCGATGTTTCGTGCCAGGCCTCCGTCAATTTTCATCACATATGCCTGACAATGCGATTTGCAAAAAACACATGTCTGAAATGTTGCGCCTGCCACGCAAAATGGTCACCAAATGTCACCAAAGTGTTGCGCTTGCCACGAAAAAACGCAACTCATCTTATGAGGCAAAAGTATTTGCGCCTGTCACACAAAGCGATGTTCGACACATTATGAAACCTGCTGGAATGTCACAAAGTGCCACGCCTGCCACGCGACATGAAGCCACGCGACGTTTGAAACCTTCAAAAGTGACTCTAGTTGCAGAATTCGCCAGAGGCACAGCCACACGATGCGGACGGTTGCGAACGGTTTGGCGCCGTCTGGCGAACACACCCTCAACCCCCAAACCCCCAGAGTCTCCAGAGTGAAACGGGGATTCGGGAAAAATGGTACCCCTATGCATGTCAGGAAGTTGTGTCTCGAGAGTCTTGTGATGCTGACAGATTCAGCATGATTCAGCTTCACCACCCGGCCTTTTATCTTCAGGATACTCTTCAGGTCCCGGGCTCAGTTTTCCAAGAGTATAGCGGGCTGCCAATGGCATTCGACAAAGTTTCATACAGTTCCTGCCGGTAATCCGGATCAAGTTATATTATAGATCTGTAGAGAATTTGCTGATTCTGCTTGCAAGGAGATTTTTTGGCGTTCCTGAAATGCTCGCCGAAACAGATGGCCAATGACACACGCGAACTTGAGGCGATGTTTACAATGCTCCCTGTGGCCTCATGAAAGGAAGTTTCGCGGAGAAATGCCGAGTTATAGATGACCAGAAAATGTGGTTGATATTATTGTTGATTTGGTTGAGTAATGAAGAGTAGAGAGGAAATAAGAATAGAAGAGAAGAGTACAGTAGACTGGGAAAGAAGAGAAGGAGAAGAATAGAGAAGAGCAGAGGAGAGAAGAGTAGAGAAGAGTAGGCGACGCAGACTAGAGAGGTTGTCTCCCTTCATGATTTTCCAGGCCTCGTTTGTGTGGCCAAACAATAGGATCTTCGCCTTTAGCTTTCTAGTGGTACTGGCTATTGCTGCAGGGTTACAATGTTTAAGTATGAATAGCACTTGAATAGACATGTTTGTATATTACGCCACGCCATGTTGTTCGAATGTCACAGCTGCAAGGGCAGGCAAAACAGACAGTACATAGCATATTCTAGTCCCGTTTTGGAATACTTCTGTTTTTCCCCACCTGTCAGGTGAGGGTTGTGAGATTTTACGTCAGCCTGCCCGCCTCCTTCCTCCTTCCTCCTTCCTCCCTCCTCCTTCCTCCTTCCTCCGCCGGGCTTCAACTGCAAGCTCTAGATCGCAGCGTTCCCTGCCAGACCCCAACAGCAACCTCTGGATCAAAGTGTTCCCCGCCGCACCTCCACCGCAAGCTCCGGATCAGAGTGTTCCCTGCCGGACGTCAACCGCGAGCTCCGGATCAGAGTGTTCTCCGCCGGACCCCCACCACAAAGAACCTCCGAAGATATACCAGATAGAATGTCAGAAAGAATGACAGAAGATGTGCCAGATACATATGCCAGAAAGATCCAGAAAGAATGTTAGAATATATATATATATTTTATTATACATATTATATGCCATAAATTCCATAAATACATCCAGATGATGGCATGTCAGGAAATATGTCAGAATATAGTGTGTAAGGGTGGGGATCACTCGAAGAAACCGTTTTCTTGAGGGAGTACCTCTGAATAGCAAATCCGCTACGGAATGTCACAGAACACACAGTGAACATTGCTCTTCTAGTTGGTTTCCCACCATTTCCAACATCCAAGGCATCAAAGGAATGGTAGGAAAGTATTGAAGGATTTTGAATTCTTTGAGGGAGCGCGAGCCCCTTGCGAATTCGATTTTCAAGGCCGCGAAAAACACCAAGCAACAGTTTGTACTAGGAAATCAGGCCTTCCATTCCTCACAAGGTAACGCTTAACCCGATGTATGTTGTCATGTACCACAAAGGTAGAAGGTTTTGTTTTGCCGGCAAGTAGCAAGACATCAAGCAAAAACCATAGAATACAGCTACAAACCATCAACAACCTACACTTGGCACAGTCACAGGCCATGCTTAAAAGTGAGTATCATGGTTTCAAAACTAGATCACGTACCCAGGCACCTTGGAACAAATTCCAACACCGGAGGCCGAGATTAAGCCATAAACAGACATATATGAACACAACTACTTTGATCGCACCAGTCATTACAGAATCCAAGTGCAACGTATATGGCATCGACCCCCGGACCTTGTCTTGCTTTCGGATTCAGCCTGCCACATCCTATTCCCTCTGTGCTTGCACTGCTTTCTCCAGTTCCTCTGGATTAGTATCTTCCTATGACAGGGCGAAACATCATAGCTGTCCATGGTACAGATCTCCAATGGTTTCTGGGCACAAACAGGACATCACCAATTACCTGGAGAAACTCCAAGAGACCGTGAACGTTAACAACTGGGACGCACCTTGACTGGAAAACGGATGAGCTGAGAGAGTCGCCGGCAGATGTTTAAAGGGATGATATAACATCCTGCAATTCAGGAGCACAGATTGCAGACACAATCAGTCATAGTCTTTCCTTGTTGTCAGAGGATTCTATTCAACATACTAGGCGTACTCTTGTGGTTCGCATAAAAGCGTCGCATGACCAGTCGGGGCCGGTCAAGGACATTGTGGACAATTTCATGTGCCTGTATGATTTGCACACGCAGCTTAAAGGCGAGAATTCTGAGAGAGTTCGATCATTGATCCGTTTCTGGGACGTCCAACAATGCACACCATATAGTGAAAAGCATGACAAACCTGCAGTTTCAGGGTTTTGTTGCAAATTCAACAGCAATTCAAATGTCAGCTCCATGTTCTGGATGTTTATGGTCGCTTGATTTTTGTTTTTCAACCTTGGCAACTCACAGGCTACGAGGAAAAATGGTAGTGATTCCCGCATTGTCATCCTTGACCCAAGCGTTGAACCCAACTTCTGGTCAGCGTTTGGACAAAAAATTGTAATTCTGCTAGAAAAGATGTTGTTTCCTTCGCCCTGACTCCCAAGTTGCAACTGCTGGAAATTCCTCGACAGGTGAGCGCAGCCGTGCAATTTTTCTGAGCATTTGGAAGGATTCGAAGCTCCGACAATCAATAGCAGTGCCTTATTTGCAGCAAGGAACCCATGTTTTTCGTAATCCGAAATCATCCACTGATTGGACCATGACTTTGTATTGAAATCATCATGGCGACTTATGGTGACTTGGGGATCCCTTCGGATGTGCGGAGCCAAATCATGGACTTCCCAAAATGAAGCACCAGGAAAATTGCCCAGAATGACATTAACTTTTCGGAGCCCGGATAAGAAATTTTCAGCATTTCATTTGGTGTTTTTCCCCCCTTTACGTCTTGGTCCTCTTTTCCTTGACATTTGTTTTATCAGGTGGCTTGGAGTTGGTGTCCAGCTCATCTTTCTTTCCATGGTTCTCCCTCCAAGAATCCTACCACCTGAGGTGCTGTCCTGTCTCCAATTCTGTCTCATTGGTCTCCCCCCAAAGTTTCCAGACTGGGATCCCCTGTATTGGCTTTGACATCCCATTGCTTTGACATCCCATTGAGTCATTGCTTAGCATAAATTATACCACAATCAATGAATCTTTCTTGTTTGATACAGTATTGGCAGCATCGGCAAATGGAATTTGAAACATGATTATTGCCAAATTAGTATGATTCGCATTTTTGTATATTTTATTTTTTCAATTGACGCAGTAAATCATATGACTCATGGCGAATGATTTTAGTGCGTCATGTGACATAGGTTGTGCTGTGTGATCATTTGAATTCAACAATGATTTGGACCATGGGCCGCATGGATATGATTCTATGATATGTTGCGGTCGGTCACACGGTATGGTCGGCCATGCAAAATCCTAAACCCTAAATCCTAAACTCATGCCAGTAAATCGGGCAAAGTTTTTTGTTCATTGATGCAGCAAGCAAAGTAAAAATCTCCCCAAAAAAAAGCACAAGGAGAGGACACAACCGGAGCACCAGCAGAGGCACCAGAAAGGACCAAACGGAGCACCAGGAGAGGTGCCGAAAAACACCTTTGGGAGACAGCCTGTCCACGGCAAAGTTGGCCAATTTCGGCTGTCCTTGTCACCGTGTGCGCCTCGCAAAAAAACCACAATCAGAGACCACAAAAGGAGCACCAGAGAGACCAGAGGTTTTGCCAAAACGGAGCACCAGCAAGTCCCATCAGAGAGTACAGATGAAGCACCAGAAAAGCCAATCAGAGACAACAAAAGGAGCACCAGAGAGACCAGAGGTTTTGCCAAAACGGAGCACCAGCAAGTCCAATCAGAGAGCACAGATGAAGCACCAGAAAGTACAATCAGAGGCCACAAAAGGAGCACCAGAGAGACCAGAGGTTTTGCCAAAACGGAGCTGCAGCAAGTCCAATCAGAGACCACAAATGAAGCACCAGAAAGTACAATCAGAGACCACGTAAGGAGTACCAGAGAGACCAGAGGTTTTGCCAAAACGGAGCACCAGCAAGCCCAACCAGAGAGCACAGATGAAGCACCAGAAAGTACAATCAGAGACCACAAAAGGAGCACCAGAGAGACCAGAGGTTTTGCCAAAACGGAGCACCAGCAAGTCGAATCAGAGAGCACAAATGAAGCACCAGAAAGTACAATCAGAGACCACAAAAGGAGCACCAGAGAGACCAGAGGTTTTGCCAAAACGGAGCACCAGCAAGTCCAATCAGAGAGCACAGATGAAGCACCAGAAAGTACAATCAGAGACCACAAAAGGAGCACCAGAGAGGCCAGAGGTTTTGCCAAAAAGGAGCACCAGCAAGTCCAATCAGAGAGTACAAATGAAGCACCAGAAAGTGCAATCAGAGACCACAAAAGGAGCACCAGAGAGACCAGAGGTTTTGCCAAAACGGAGCACCAGCAAGTCCAATCAGAGAGCACAGATGAAGCACCAGAAGGTACAATCAGAGACCACAAAAGGAGCACCAGAGAGACCAGAGGTTTTGCCAAAACGGAGCACCAGCAAGTCCCATCAGAGAGTACAGAGAAGCACCAGAAACGCCAATCAGAGACAACAAAAGGAGCACCAGAGAGACCAGAGGTTTTGCCAAAACGGAGCACCAGCAAAATCAGAGAGTACAAATGAAGCACCAGAGTACAATCAGAGACCACAAAAGGAGCACCAGAGAGACCAGAGGTTTTGCCAAAACGGAGCACCAGCAAGTCCCATCAGAGAGTACAGATGAAGCACCAGAAAGTACAATCAGAGGCCACAAAAGGAGCACCAGAGAGACCAGAGGTTTTGCCAAAACGGAGCACCAGCAAGTCCCATCAGAGAGTACAGATGAAGCACCAGAAAGTACAATCAGAGGCCACAAAAGGAGCACCAGAGAGACCAGAGGTTTTGCCAAAACGGAGCACCAGCAAGTCCCATCAGAGAGTACAGATGAAGCACCAGAAAGTACAATCAGAGACCACAAAAGGAGCACCAGAGGGACCAGAGGTTTTGCCAAAACGGAGCACCAGCAAGTCCAATCAGAGAGCACAGATGAAGCACCAGAAGGTACAATCAGAGAGCACAAAAGGAGCACCAGAAAATCAGCAAAACATGTGTTTCTCCTAGGGATTTCCAATGTCAATTATTTTCAAGTGGCCAACTCACCCAGCCAGCCAGGGGATTCTGATATTAGGTTTTGATTTTAGTTCTTCAGAATTGACTACTAATATTTGACCTGATAATATAATCATAATTTTATTCAATTTGATTATAACAACAGTCTTTTTTGAACAAAAAAAAATGCAGCGGCCGGATCCCACCAGGCATTCAGCACACTGGGGTGTGACACATTGGGAGGTATAACATGGTATAACCGGTAACCTGAATCTAATTGGCAGGTTCTTAAGTGGAACTAGTCAGTTGTTTCATGATTTGACCGACCCACTTCCAGAATGGAAAGGATCCACTTAGAGATGGAATTGTTTGTGTATATATATATATATTCATTTACTATCATTTTTGCTATATTACTATTAATATAAAGGCCATGCAGGGGCATGATGATTCAAACACTGTTTCCTTAGTCTTGGAACAATAAAGTTCGAAACTTTCATGTATCAAACAGCAAGCGCAGTCGTTTTTTTTGTGCAGTTTATTTTCAACTGCAATTGGCAATTGCTTGCAAACTTTGATTTGGAGTAGGCAGGAAGTGAAAACTGCTGGAGCAAAAAACATTGATTTATTACTTTAAGCAGTTATGATTCATCTGTCTTTTCTACTGTGTTTTCATCAAACACACAATAGTAAGACAGTAAAAAAACATCAAACAAAACAAATCCAGACAGTAGCAGCTTTCATGCCATCCAGCCCGCTCTGAATTGGTTGGATGAAGCATCCAAATAGGGATGGCACGCTGCAGTTTCCGCAGGGGTAGTGGGAAAGACATCTGATTTTTTAACATGGCTATATGTTGGGACTTCTTATTAGATTTAAACACAACTGGGACTTCCGTTTGTGCTGCCCGTTGTTGTGGTCACTTTTTTCCATCCCCGGGGCCCTGGTTTTTTGCCACAGGCTGTGTCAGCGGTGCACCAAGGTGGCAGACAAGTTTCAGAAAGCGTCGCAGCCTTGGAGTTGGATAAAGCAAATGGCAAAAATACCATTTACCCTCTGGTAAACATACAAAAAACTATGGAAAATCACCATGTTTAATGAGTAAATCCACTATAGAAATAACCATTTTCAATAGTTTTTTGTATGTTTACCAGAGGGTACCATCATTGGTAAATTAAACAATGATTGATGATCGTATGGTAATCATTACGAAAAACAATAATTGACCTAATTTTCCACCATGAGGTTGGCACAGGTAAATTAGACATGATTATGGACATCTTTTTATATATGACTGCAGTTTTTGGACACTAAAGAAATGTTAAAAACATTCTTGCCATCAAGTAATCAATCATGTTTTGCTGGAAAATTCTACATTACTTCGATAATTTTCCCCAGCTCCTCGGATAAACCTCCATTTCTGATGGGGTTTTCCAGTTAGCCACATTTGATGGGTACACAGATGCCAAAATTAGAGGCAAGTAGCATGGCGAACGCTTCGCTTGCATTCCATTGTCGGCCAAGGGTGAATGTGAATGATCCACCGGCATTCATCATTCACGAAGTCAAAAATGCGGTGGGCCACGTAAAGAAGAACGCCACTGCTTGGAAGATTGCCATGAAGAAGGAACGGCCGTTTTTTGGTTTTGTATGGTCCATATGGTCCATATGGTCCATGGCTTTATGTTGCGGACTTTTAGAACTTGAATCCATGACACAACGGTATCCTCTCGTTGCCCTTTTCTGCTGTTTAGGACACAACATGGTTTTGGAGTCAAATGTCCGGAAAAAAAATGCATGTTTTCATTTTTCCCATTTTTGGAGCTTAGTGAAAAACTGCCAAAAAAGAAACGGCGCAACTTGTTGCTAAAATCGCTAAAATGGCGCTAAAACGTCGCAAATTTCTGGCATAAAAGTGGAAATAATAAAAATACATAGAAATAATATGTATAAAACACATATAAATACATAGATATTTATACATAAGTTTTTTTTTGCAAAGACACATGTTTTATTTTTCTTCCAAGATGACGTTGAACTTATCGCAGTTTTGAGATCTGGCAGGAGGTGGCCGCCATTGATCTCATCAAAGCACGGCAACAGGCCTTTTTTCAGTTCCTGATCTCCTGCATCTCAGGACGGCAGTCTTGAAAACCACTGGGTGTCACCAAGCATTGAAAAATCAGAAAACATCAGTCCTGGTATAATTATGGTGTTTTTTTTTACATGTTCTTCGCATTTTCACCGGGCTTGGCTGTCCAAGATATGCCATGATTTGCAATGACGAAAATCAAGAAAGTGAACTCCGGAGGAGTGTTCGTCTTCCTTGCCACGCTCTTCTCTGGGCTGGTCTTGGACGCAATGGAAGCGGGCAAGGTTAATGTGCCTTTGTTGTCCGATCTTTTAAATTCCACCGCGTTCTGAAAATCGCTGATGCGGTGAGCATACTAGATAGGTTGTGAGAGCACTATGGGCTTTGCGAACAGGAAATGAAACGATCTGAAATTAACAGATGGCTACAATGAGTTAGCTACTCATTTCGGTATGTGGATCTGATTTGGAGATGTTTGAAATGCAGTTAAGGTTGCATCTGTACAGCAGCATATAGTACCATGGTTTGAATAGACTTGGTGTCAGAGCAGGAAAGGTGCCTCCTCTCGAAACTCTTGTCTTGGATATGAAGGTTATGAAGAAGATGCATAGGCTTTCCAAACATTGTTTTGAAGAACACATATAAAACCTAGGGAATGAGCAGATTTAAACAGCACATGTGATGGTTTGATGTCAAGAAGACCGCCGGTTCTCTCTTCGCTAAGCTTCGGTGCAATCATAGGTGTCACCATGGTGTCACCCGTGTCAAATCGATGCAGCATGACTTGCACGAAGCAGAAATCCTGGACCCCTCTGACCAGAGCATGGATTGGAATCAAAACCTGGGGTGACAGCTCGTAGAATTTTAAGCCATTCCGTGGAATGGAAGATGGATTCTTGCCTACAAATCAAAGCAATCAAATTTCGACAGCTGCACATCATTGCAGTCAGGGTTGTCCTACCAAGTTGTGATTGCAATGCTCCGGAGATTTCCGATGCAGATGCCTGAAGCAGGGCGTGCTGAGGAAAAAAGTCCTGCTTGTTCTGCCACTTGATCTGTGCGAAAAATGCTGAGTTGGTTAGGATCGAAGTCCTTTCTCGCGACAGCATGTCGTGCTTATTTATTTTGTGTCTTCAGCTTGTGAGCCTTTGCACTGGGTGTGCACATGGAAACTATGTGGATGCTTGTGCAACAGAATCGTACCAGATGAAGATTTTAGAAAATGGCACAAGTCATAATCTTGTCTGGGGCAAACCCGTGACTCTGTTCCACACAGCCACAGATTCCCGCAGACATAGGCATTCCAGACATTCTCATCACGCGGAATTTCTGAAGCCTGACGCAATGGGTGTCATGATGCGTTCACGTGGCAGATACTTCAAAGGCCGCTTTCTCAGAGATGGATTCCAGTATCTGTGTCGGCCAAATTTTAGGGCCCGAAAAAGCCGCACCGCGTGGCAAAGTTGGTCTCCAATTTTGACCCAATTGGCTGTCTGCTAGGTCTTCCGAGGCACATCAAGGAAGATAAATTGATGAATGCCACATATGTGGGGTGTTCAACAAATCAACAACCCTTCAATATGATCATCACATATCATCACATATCATCACCAGTTTGCATGGTTCCTACCTGATTACATCCTGATTACATCCATGTTCTGGAAATCAAAGCCTTTTGGTCTCTTCACCTGCAACATGGATGTTTGGGGTGTTCTTGGATTACATTTACATCCTCATGTTCACCTGCCATTTTCTCTGTGTTTTTGTGTCTTCTTTGGGGTTCTTGGGGAAGGTCTGCTCTGTGCTGCCGTAACTGCCCTTGTCACTCGTGCAACTTTGATGCCCCAGGTGCGCTGGTGAAACACGCAAATTTCGGGTCGGAAGGAAATTTTTAATTTGCTTTGGAGCCCAAATTCTTGGTCCATATCAAGATATATCAAGTCACTAAGGCATCTGATCAATCTGATCTGCCCTGACCACTTAGTGATTCATTGTCATTTTCGATCATTTTTCTATCCAATGCCAATCTTTTTCCTGTCTGATGAACACGGAAATCATGAAGCAACAGAAGTTTTGGTCGACGATGTCCGGCTGACAGGCCTTGGTCTCGTTACACAGGACGGCTTTTTTGCGGCTGGAACCATGGCACCTGTTGGGCGCGCCATGGCGCGCCATGGTTCCAGCTGACATGGGGTTGTCCAATCATGGGGTATACCATGGGATACCTCAAATTTGCCATATATATATACATATATACACATAATATTATATAATATTATTATATATGTATTATGTTGATATTTATTTTTATACTTACAGGGAAACATGATGATCGACAATGGAAAATTCGGGTTGGGGTTTTCCCATATTTGGGAGAGATATTTGGGAGAAACATATATATATATATCAAAAAATGATTATACATAGGAACTCTGAGGATTAATCACGGATTTCTTGGAGTGGCAAAGTCTGTTGGTTCAAAGATGTGGGCTGAAGAAAAACTGGGATGCAGGGCCGGAAAATTTGAGATATTCCACCAAATGGATATGTCGAATATGTTGAAGCACCAACAATGAATCAGTTGTCTTCTGCTAGTTTCCAGTTTCCATGCACCTGTATCCCATGAATATGTTGGTAGGTTTTCATCTAAATGATTCCGAAGCCAGAAAGTGGGTGATATGGAAGAATCACCTAAACTACTAAGTTTTCCAGTTTGATTAGTAGTTTATCATGTGGATAACTTAGTAGTTTAGGTGATTGATATATGATATACTATCATGATTGATACATGATCATGATTGATATATGATATACTCCCTGATAAATTAACATAGACCCTGAAAATGACCAGTTTATAGTGGAAACTAGTCTTCCAACCCCGATGACTGCCAGGGTCTATGTTAATTTACTGGAGGGTACTATCCAGTCGAGCAGTTTCAAAAGCCCCCTCCGCCCCGTTTGAATGGCCCATGGGGGGGCCTTTCAGAATCTGCTGGGAATCCGAGAGCCCAAATCACGAGTTGTTTCAACATATTTCAAAAAGGAATTCCAGATAGATTCTAGTTCAGTGATTGAAATAAATAAACAACTATATTCAACCACGAAAATTCTGATGTTTTTTTTTTTCAACTTAAGTTGAAATCCAAAGTTGATTCTGTTTTCTTTAATGATTCATTGGGATTTCAACCACATTTCAGGTCACCCAGAGGTAGCCAGGTCAGCGCCAGGACCCAACAAACTGCACCTCCCAGCCTCACCCGGAGCGGCGATGTTGCTCCGGAATCTTGGATGAACATGGGAAAAAAGTGAAAAAAAACCATAGGTATAGGTGCAGGGGATATATAGGGATAGATATAGGAATATATATATATATAGATAGGATGATATAGGGATAATTGATTAGATCAAACTATATCCTCTTACATCATTCTTAATCATAAGGACATATATAGGTTTATTATCCACTTCAATAACACTAATACCATGATACAACACATATAAGAAGTGGACATAAAACCATAAAGAACGCCAGTTATAGGATTCGATGATTATCATGTATATATATATACACACATGCTACCTCCCCTGCAGGATCGGTGTTTAAATGGTCTTGTAGCAGCTAACATCAAAGTGTGCACCACATATATATATACACCATCTGGCTATTTAACATAGCTATGGACAATCTATTATAAATGGAAGGTTTAATGTGAACATTATCTATAAATGGGCCATTTTCCTTAGCTATGTTAAACAACCAGAGAGTAGCACATATAACAATGAGAACCATAGTTGTAGCGGTAATATCCCATCTAGTGGGGGTTATTAGTGTAGGGGTTCCCCCCCACACATTTGAAGGGGTCTGCTAGACCGGCTAGGTATACTTTTGAGGGACCGAGGTCTGAATGATTTTGGATCAAGTGATTTCAATTGGTTTTAATTTACCAATTGATTTCAATCGATAGCCTGAGGTAGAAAGATATGAGAAACGATGGGACTTCCCAAGGAAAATGGCACCATGATCCCATCAGAAAAGATCATCGACGGAAGTTGCGGGCTTTTCCAGCCGCGACGAAGAGAAAACCGCTGTCCGGAGCTAGTTGACACATCTTACATATCTAGGCCACAGTCATCTTCCTATAGTTGTACACTTTTTTGGTTTGTTCCAAGGAGAGCTCTGTGGAACCTTTTGGTGACAGGGATGTTACATGTGTCACTTCCCAAAATTTTGGAGGCCATTTTTGGGGGGCTACAAAGATCAACCGATGGAATCTGATCTGGAACAGATTTTGGTCCGGTTCGATCATATTTCCCAGAAAGTATGATTCTAACTGTTTTTGATAGTCCATCTACCCAAGCATTTTCGATATCTACTCTATCTAGTGTATTAATACAATCTGACCTTCCAGACCATTAACCACTATTAAACTATTGAGATTCCATTTTTTAATGTCTATTCATTTGAAATCATGAATTTGGAAGGGGGTGCCCCAGATCATCCAATATTAGATCAGTCTATTGAGTTTCAACCCTGGTGAGTTGGGGATGGGAAAATTTCAGGAAACGGCCATAAAAATTGTACTTCAAAAAACTGCAGTTTCCCAAGAAATTCGTATAAAGTTTGGTGATTTTAATCCCCAAATCACTGGACATTCTGATTTATTTCAATCTTCTTACTGGTGCTAAACGTAGGGAATGGATGGGAATGGGGGAATGGGGGTTGCTGGGATGAATATTACTAGTGATGACTGGGATCATGCCCTCATTCCCTGCGTTTCGCACCAGTAAGTCTTGACTTTACAAAATTGTTGGTTGGTTGATGCAGGCATGGATGGACAAGGTGCGGCGGGATGGGTAACAATGAATAATCAGTGGCTAATAATGGGGATGGTTAAGAATCATGGATGACTAAGAACATATAACTCATATATTTTTTAAACAAACATCTATATGTAGATTGTATAGTATAGCCATAGTAAACGTTGATTTTCATTATCACTAGATCTTGGTACCTTGCAATGGCACCTTTCCATTGCTTCAGGTGGTGCCCAATATGGTCTTCGCCAGCATTGCGGCGGCCACAGCCATGGCCACGGTGGGTGGAAGAAGTTTGCTCACCGGGCAATCCAGGCGCCAAGCTGATGCAATTTCTGGTGGTTTGATTATCATAAAGAAAAACACCTGGATATTTTTTTGATGACTTTTTTTTTTGAAAACACAGAAGTCATCCACCTTCGAGTGTATCACAAGAAATTGGGGTCAAACATGGTAAAACTCAACTGCTTTTGGAGCATTTCTGGTTCAAAACAACTATAAATGGCAATTTTCTTTATGGTGCCCTCTGGTAGACTAAGATAACTATGGAAAATGACAATTTTTAATGGGTAAAACATGGTAAAACATTCAACATCAGCCTTTCACAGGCCCAGTCGGCAGCTGAGTTGTGAACGAGCTCAGCAAGATGTTCGTCCAGTTCCTCGATACCAAACCATCTGTTTTGAAGAAAATCGAACCATGAAATCCAGGATTGAAAAAAAGCTGTGGCTGTTCAAGATTCCCATAGTGGAATGGATATGAATGGATACGAATGGATGACGATAAATCTGAAAAATAGCATGTCAAAAAACGGACTGGCTTATCACTGTATAAGTTATAAAACTCGGGTTTATGATGGTTGTAGCATGTTGTATCTGTAGTTAGATGGGTGTGAACCAACCTAATTACAACTGGATGGCACCATCTTGTACCCAATTTGATGGTAGCTGGAAAAACTTGCCAATCAACATCAATTTGGAAGCTTTTAGTCTGAACTTCGGTGCACCTTAAGGGACAAACCTTTCACCATCTTTCACCCAAACCTTCCATTATCGCCTCACCCGGCCTCACCTGGCCTCACCTGGCCTCACACTTGTGACGGAGATCACTTGGTGCGCCTCGCATGCTTAGTGGAGACATGTGGAGTCATTGGAGCAACTTTGAAGGTTTGGTCATTTGAAGCTACCCCGCTTTGATGGTTTGTTTGATGGTTGATTTCATGGAAAATCCGAAAATCAAATGGATGGGAACTGGGGGTACCCCCTATTTTGGGAAACCTCCAAAGTTGCCAGTATTCAAAGATGCTTTGGTGCAGGTTTGACCATGTTTTGCAGAAAGTTTCCGAGCATGCAGTGACACTCACAGCATATGAGCCTTTAATGATAACCACTGCACATTCTTTTGACATTCTCGCTCCTAGTTCGCTCGCGAACAATTGTCTAATATGCACTTCGTGTTTTTGGTGAGGTGTCTGCGTTTGTTGCACTTTGCAAGCATAGCATGATCAGCCAGCTCAATCCGCAGTTTGACCCAAGATTTTCCCAAAATCCAGTGGTGATTCCAGCCTTCGCCTGAGAGCTTGCACCAGCTCCAACCTTTGTGGTGCATCGGTGCTAGCTCAACCAAGGCTGACGCTGTGGTTGGATTAGTCGTGCCAAAAGAGTTACTGCTAGAAGAGCAGTGAGCGCCTGGTTTGGTGACACTTCGCCTAGATCCCAGCTGTGAGCGCACATTTTCCATGTCGGATGTGCTGCCGATAGCCGATGGATGGATCATACTGCAAAAGGGATACAGCAAGCTACGTATGTTCGATCCAGCATGCCATATCTGAGAAAGATCCTCTGTCAGGACGCAGAAAATGCGGACCTGATTCGGTGCTTTTCAAAGGGCTTGCAGAGAAAATACGGTGCTTTTCACGGGGCAGCCTTCCGACTGATGACATGATTCCCGCCAACCGCAGCATCAGCATGGCTTCATTGGATCACTTTGTTGCAGAAGTGTCTGAGAAATGGCGTCGCGGAGACATCCACAACACTGGTGGCTACAGCACCGTGAAGTTTGATGCTTTGATCGGCCCCATGTACCAAGTGTGCGAACAGGTGATCACACCCATGACTGCAGACCCTTCCCTGATGTTGCCAGGCGTGAGTTGGGCTCAGAGGTTTTTCACTTCGTCTTGCATTGGGCAGAAGGAGTCTTTGAGTTTCACCGCTTGTTGAAACCTTGGCAAAGCTGGAACTTTCCTCACAATTTCAGCCTAGCTTACATCTGCTTTTTGACCCACAGAACTTGGACATCCAAAGCATGTTAACAGCTGCCCGAAGATGGCAGGCTGGTCCTGACTGCCACTGGGAATATGGCCATTCACATGCGACTTTGGTGTGTGTTTGAAGCTTTCATTGCCATGGTGCGGAGAATTACCATCATGCTCGCTGGTGAGCGTTGCAACTTAGCTTTGGACCGGCGCGCTGTTTTGCGGCCTGCGAAAGTGCTATCAACCATCGTGCAAATGCATCCCTGCGACGTCTTTGCTTCATTGATCTGCTTGAGTCCATCTTTGGGGTCTTTCGGTACTTTGATTGCCTCTGTGGATGTGGCTGGGTCCTTATTGTTATGGAAGCATGGAAGGGCTTTCTGGGGAGGCAGCACGGCTGGTCTGACCCCTGAGAAATGGATGTTTATTTGGATTCTGATGGATTCTGAGTCTTGTGGTTCTAGCTCTGCACGGGCACCTTGGACGATTTCGGCACCCCTCAAAGCAAAGACCTCTTCCGTGAAGCCAATGCGCTCTCGAAGCACAAAGGCACCAAGGGAATGGGTCACTTAGACCCCTTGGTCACAGGAGAATTTCCAGTTTCCACAGAGCACCAGAAGTTGCTGCGCCATGTTTGCCAGGATGAATGCGAAGAGATCGTGAACGAGACCCTGAAGAACATCAACAAGATATAACAAGATGACCCGTGATCTCCATTATGCAGTGCCTTCATGAGGAGACCTGCGCTGACAATGTCGTGCGGTGGAGGCGGAGATTTTAGGTTGTTGTGGTCACTGATGTGGATGGCAGGAGCTGCGCCTCCTGGCCGTTCCTGACCAAGGATGAAAAGGTCGAATGGCTGCAGCCAGAACACATGTGTACCTCGGTGCTGAGCCCCAGGCAGGTCGGATTGGTCTCCCAGTTTGACATCAACGCCAAGAAAGGCGATGTCGGTGGTGCGTACATGGGGCAGGACCTGCGGTTGCTTTGGGCCAAGCCATGCCTTGCCAAGTTCCACCAGCACCTGAAGAAATTGAAGCAAATACCCAAAGAGAACGAGCCAATGAGCTCGGACTTCCTGCAAAAGAACCCAGATGTCTACAAGAAAGGGCTTCGGAAGGGATGGTTCACCGAAGCTTCGGAAAAAATCTGGAAGGATCCTCCGGGAATGTCGACGTCTTTGGCCGAGCTCAAGGCCACCACCTGTGAGAGCACCTTGGACAAGATGAAAAACAAAGACCACTGCCGCAGTGGTCTTTGCTTTTCATCTTGCCCAAAAGAAATGTGGCAAAATATGCTGAACGCATGTGTGCAGGCAGAAAAATTGCAATTCTCAGCCCAAGGCGGATCCCCATGACGATGACCTTAAGTGCCAGCGCAACATGATCAACCCTGATGTCAACAGACCCCAACAGGTCGCCACACCTGATGAGTGCCTCAAGGTGGATTTTGGACAAGTGGTCAAACGCAGATTTTTTTTACTTACAACAGCAGCGATCCTCCAAAGGGCAAGCTCATCCTGGACAATCCCATTTTGTGTTTCCAGGAGAAAGACCCGTGTGCGCTTTTGGATTGGATGCTTGACAGAACGTTTTGCAACGACATGTCGGTGCTGGTCTGTGTTGCCATCCCAGTTTGGCTTCTGACCGCATGTGTTTTTGCGTGTTCTAGCTTGCGGTACTTGTGTGGACGGGCATGGTATTTGCGTGGCCGGAAATATTTTGAGCGGACTGAATTGAAAGGTTCTTTCCTGAATGTGAGGGATGCTCAGTGTTCTAGCTAGCCCAGATGCGGAGCGAATCAGGGCAGTCATAGCAGGGAGGGAAGACAAGATATCTTCAATGATCGGCAGTCTCATTGTCAATTTCCAGGCTTGATGGCCCAAGAATCGCAGTACTTTGCGTTTTGTGGCAAGTGTCTTATCGGAAAAAGGGGGCTGGCAGTCCGCCATGCCCACAGAGGTGTCATTCACTGAAAGAGGGGCAGCACCCAAATCTCCATTTGTTTTGGGCATCCTGCTATTTTTGCGTTTAGGGATACGGAGTTTGCCACTGCGATGCCAGGTCAGCTACTTCATCGACAGCTGGCACGGAAGATATCAAAACGGGCTCAAAATATGGGCCCATCCAGAGTCCTTTCCTTCCTTTTCTAGCCTTTGGTAGATGAAGATCTGATGACACTTCAGAATGTGAAGATGGGTCTCATGCCAACTGGAGATCAGAAGTTTCGAAGAGATGTGTCGCGCAGCCTGGAAGTTCCTATCCACTTAGATGATGAGGAGGCTTGGAGGGAAGAGATCAAAATTGTGATTTTCGCTCGGATTTCTTGAACTGAATTTAAGCTCAGCCCCAGACTTGGAAATTCTGCAGGAAGGACCATATATATATAATATAATATATATATAATATAATATATATATATATATAATATATATATATATATATATATACCAGTAGTACCGCACAAGGCGGTGGCAGAAGTTTCAAAAATAGGAAACCTATAGGAGAGGTTGGTTGTTGTGAATCAGGGATGGCAGAGCGAAGCCACTGATGGACTGAAAAGGTGCTTGATCTCTCTCACTCTTTCTATCTCTTTCTCTGACTATCTACATACCTACCTATCTATTTTCTATGTATCTATCTACCTACCTACCTACCTACCGATCGATCGATCTATCTATCTATCTATCTATCTTTCATCTGTCTAGCTGTCTACCTGTCTGTCTGTCTGTCTGTCTATCTATCTATCTACCTCTCTTTCATCTGTCTATCTGTCTAGCTGTCTATCTGTCTATCTATCTATCTATCTATCTATCTATCACCCCCACCCCCTTAACCGAGCTTTTTTTTTTTGGGGGGGGGGACCCTACTATATGTAACTTACATTTTGCGGGGTGTTTTTAGGGGGGGTTAATTGTAACTTAAAATCTCTAAGGTACCAGAAATTCAGGTTTTGGAAGGGTGAAAAATGTAAGTTCTGACCCCCCTAGGTATGGTCCTGGTCAAAGCAATTTCAAGGTATTCCCCAGGAATGCACCACACACGTAGTGATCTATGGAAATGGGGGGGGAGGGGGAAAATGTAACTTACATTTTTCCCCCACCCTCCCTTTTGGGGGTACCACTATATGCTATGATATAATATGATACAATATGATATAATATGATATAATATGATACATAATATGATATATTATGATATATTACATTAACATACATTAACCTAGGACAACCTAGGCACACCAGTATTACCCAGTATGCCTTTGGACATTTTGGCCTTGGAAAATGTAAGTTGATGATATTGAGGTGCAGGTTCGACTGCAAAAATGCAGGTTTTGAAGACCTTACAACAGGGATCTTACATTTTTTGGTTCCTAGGATTCCCTGGGAATTCTGGTATTATATGGGTTTTGATTGTGTTTTCTAGGTTGTACATTCTGTTGTGCATTCTTTCCAGGAATGCCTTTGGAGCTTTTGGTCTTGGAAAATGTAAGTTGGTGATAATATTGAGGTGCAGGTTCCACTGCAAAAATGCAGGTTTTGAAGACCTTGCAACATGGATCTTACATTTTTTGTTCCTAGGATTCCCTGGGAATCCTGGTATTATATGGATTTTGATGGGTTTTTTTCTAGGTTGTACATTCTGTTGTGCATTCTTTCCAGGAATGCCTTTGGACATTTTGGTCTTGGAAAATGTAAGTTGGTGATATTGAGGTGCAGGTTCCACTGCAAAAATGCAGGTTTTGAAGACCTTACAACAGGGATCTTACAGTTTTGTTTCCTAGGATTCCCTGGGAATTCTGGTATTATATGGGTGTTGATTGTTTTTTTTTTCTAGGTTGTACCTTCTGTTGTGCATTCTTTCCAGGAATGCCTTTGGACATTTTGGCCTTGGAAAATGTAAGTTGATGATATTGAGGTGCAGGTTCGACTGCAAAAATGCAGGTTTTGAAGACCTTACAACAGGGATCTTACATTTTTTGGTTCCTAGGATTCCCTGGGAATTCTGGTATTATATGGGTTTTGATTGTGTTTTCTAGGTTGTACATTCTGTTGTGCATTCTTTCCAGGAATGCCTTTGGAGCTTTTGGTCTTGGAAAATGTAAGTTGGTGATAATATTGAGGTGCAGGTTCCACTGCAAAAATGCAGGTTTTGCAGACCTTACAATAGGGATCTCACATGTTGCAGAATGGTTGCAGACATATGCAGACATATGATTGAAATATATCGAAATATCATTTTTGGTTGTAATGTTTTATAGATTTTATAGCCTTTTCAGAGATGTTCTTGGATGTTCTGTGGTATTTCTTGATGTTTTTCTGTTTATCTATGTATTTTTTGTAATCCTGGCACCAACCTTGTTATAACTGTTATGTTTACCTCTTCCTTTTATCCCATGAGGGCCCAATGTTTTGCGACGTCCCAAGAAGTAACTTACATTTTTTGAAAAATGCAGGCTTCCAGAGAAATAACACCTTCAAAAATGTAAGTTACATTTAGGAAGGTTTTACCTGAAAAATGTAATATTACATTTTTGAGGCCCCTCCAAATTTCAGAGGGACCTACCCTAAATGTAAGTTACATTTTTGAAGGTGCTGATTGTATAGGTTTTTCACAGAATGTAAGTTACATTTTCGAAGGTTTTACCTACCCTAAATGTAAGTTACATTTTGGGGAGGTCCCCCCCTGCTAAAAGGGTAGGGATTATCTATCTATCTATCTATCTATCTATCTATCTCTCTCTCTCTCTATCTATCTATCTATCTATCTATCTATCTCTCTTTCATCTGTCTATCTGTCTAGCTGTCTACCTGTCTATCTATCTATCTATCTATCTATCTGTCTACCTGTCTATCTGTCTATCTGTCTATCTGTCTATCTGTCTATCTGTCTATCTGTCTATCTGTCTATCTGTCTACCTGTCTATCTGTGGTGCAGTGTCATTCAGTGTATTGTAGTGTAGTGTAATGTAGTGCAGTGTAGTGGAGTGTAGTGGAATGTAGTGTAGTGTAGTGTAATGTAGTGTAGTGTAGTGTAATTTCGTGTAGTGGAGTGTAGTTGTGTAGTCGTAGTTGTAGTTGTAGTGTAGTGGAGTGTAGTGTAGTGTAATGTAGTGAAGTGTAGTGGAAGGTAGTGTAGTGTAATGTAGTGTAGTGTAGTGGAGTGTAGTGTAGTTTAGTGTAGGGTAATGTAGTGTAGTGTAGTGTAATTTAGTGTAGTGGAGCGTCGTGGAGTGTAGTTGTGTAGTTGTAGTTGTAGTGTTGTGGAGCGTAGTGTAGTGTAATGTAGTGTAGTGGAGTGTAGTGTAATTTAATGTAGTGTAGGGTAGTGGAGCGTAGTGTAGTGTAATGTATTGTAGTGAAATTTAATGTAGTGGAGTGTAGTGGTAGTGTAGTCGTAGTGTAGTGTAATGTAGTGTAGTGGAGTGTAGTGTAATTTAATGTAGTGTAGTGTAGTGGAGCGTAGTGTAGTGTAATGTAGTGTAGTGTAATTTAATGTAGTGGAGTGTAGTGGAGTGTAGTGGAGTGTAGTCTAGTTGTTTAGTTGTAGTTGTAGTGTTGTGGAGTGTAGTGTAGTGTAATGTAGTGTAGTATAGTGGAGTGTGGTGTAATGTAACGTAGTGTAGTGTAGTGAAGCAAAGCGGCGAAGCGACATCTGAACCTCCAAAAGTGGTCCGAACCCCATGTGTTTTTAACATTTTTACTTCGAAATGTGCTTCGCGCCACGACGGCGTGCACTTTTTCGACATCGCAACTTCCAAAAGTGGTCCGAACCCCTGGTGTTTTTAACATTTTTACTTCGAAATGTGCTTCCCGCCACAACGGCGTGCACTTTTTCGACATCTGAACCTCCAAAAGTGGCGCGAACATGTGGTGTTTTGTACATTTTGACTTCGAAATGTGCTTCGCGCCACAACGGCGTGCACTTTTTCGACATCGCAACTTCCAAAAGTGGTCCGGACCTGAGGTGTTTTGTACATTTGGACTTGGAAATGTGCTTCGCGCCACAACGGCGTGCACTTTTTTGACATCTCAACTTCCAAAAGTGGTCCGAGAATGGTGTGTTTTGTACATTTTCACTTGGAAATGTGCTTCGCGCCACAACGGTGTGCAATTTTTCATCTCTCCTCTGGCCAGCTGGCTCCGCACCCGCCGCTTTAGCGAGCCTACTTTTCGACCCTCCGGAGCCACAAATCATTGGAAAAACAGTGTGTTTCGCGACTTTCCTACCTTTTCGCGCATCTGCATCTTCTGTCTTCTTACTCTTTCTCTTCTACTCTTCTTTCTTCTAATCTTTCTCTTCTCTCTGCCTCTTCCCTGCTCTGCTTTTCATCTCTCCATATTGTCGGAAGTTTGACTTCTAAACTTCCTTCGATTATATTGTGTATAGTAAAGACAAAAACCATGTTTTCCCGCCACCTTTTTCCTGCCACCTTTTCCAAAAAATAAGTTGACTCAAATGGTTAGAAAATCTTAGAAGACCAGGACCAGGTTTGCTGAGATTCAGCTAACATGAAGCAGCTGGTAGCTCCATGGTCAGAGCTTGCCATGGTTGAAGGGTAGCCTCCAAAGCTATAGAAGCTAGGGGATGGTGGCCGCAGACTCACAGGTCCAGCCCGTCCAGCCCGTCCAGCCCGAGCTTTGATAGTTTTTGCATGTTGGGGACCATTGAAGTGTTCAGAGCGGGGAACCTATGAACAGCAAGTCACCTGAACAATCTTGAACTGAGGAAGTCCTGAAGATAAACGAAACTAGACGACGGTTGGCACGAGAGATCCCGAGAGCGAGTGTGTGTGTGTAGGTACTCAGATGTGTTATGTAGTTGTATGATTTGCAGACGCCAAAGACTTGCATGAATATGTTCATGAGAATGTTATTAGAGATCATGTGAAAATGTTCATTACGTGTAGATGCCAAGATAAGAAGATGTGAAGATGTCAGGTTTTCGTTGCAAGAGACAGACAAGGTATGCTGTATAAAAGATGTGAGAAAATACATACATAGAGATATGTTGATAGGCTCTCAAACAAAGACGCATGCAGAGAAACATGTTTACACATACACACAGACACACACACACAAACAAACCCACACACACACACAGAAGCTTTTACACACAAAAGCTTTTACACACAGAGGCTTTTTACACACAGGCACTTTTACACACAGACGCCTGTACACACAGCAAGCTTTTACACACAGCAAGCTTTTTACACACAGACGCTTGTACACACAGAAGCTTTTACACACAGATGCTTTTACACACAGAACCCTTTACACACAGACCCACAGACCCTTTTACACACAGACCCTTTTACCCACAGAAGCTCTTTACACACAGAACCTTTTACACACAGTCGCTTGTACACACAGAAGCTTTTACACACAAAGGCTTTTACACACAGAAGCTTTTTACACACTTTTAGACAGCTTTTACACACAGAAGCTTTTGCACACAGACACTTTTACACACAGAGAAGCTTTTACACACAAAAGCTTTTACACACAGGGACTTTTACACGCAGAACCTTTTACACACAGAAGCTTGTACACACAGAAGCTTTTACACACAGAACCCTTTACACAGAAGCTTTTACACACAGATGCATGCACACACAGAAGCTTTACACACAGGCGCTTTACACGCAGCAAGCTTTGTACACACAGAAGCTTTTACACACTGAAGCTTATACACATACACACAGAGGCATTTATGCACAGAGGCTTTTACACGCAGAAGCTTTTACGCACAGAAGCTTTTACACACAGAAGCTTTTGCACACAGACACTTTTACACACAGAGAAGCTTTTACACACAAAAGCTTTTACACACAGGGACTTTTACACGCAGAACCTTTTACACACAGAAGCTTGTACACACAGAAGCTTTTACACACAGAACCCTTTACACAGAAGCTTTTACACACAGATGCATGCACACACAGAAGCTTTACACACAGGCGCTTAACACGCAGCAAGCTTTGTACACACAGAAACTTTTACACACTGAAGCTTATACACATACACACAGAGGCATTTATGCACAGAGGTTTTTACACGCAGAAGCTTTTACGCACAGAAGCTTTTACACACACACACACAGAAGCTTTTACGCACAAGCGCTTTACACACAGAAGCTTTTACACCGAGAAGCTTTTACACACGGAAGCTTTTACACACAGAAGCTTTCACACATAGAAGTTTTTACGCATAGAGGCTTTTACAAGCAGAAACGTTTACACACAGAAGTTTTTACACGCAAACGCTTGTGCACAGAAACACTTTGTACACACAACCCTTTTACACACAAACGCTTCTACGCAAGCGCTTGCACACGGAAACACTGTGCACAACCATTTTACACACAAACACTTCTATACACAAACGCTTGTGCACAGAAACATTTTGTACTTTGTACACACAAACGCTTTTACACACTAACGCTTCTACAACCACGTCTCCACGCAAACGCTTCTACGCACGAAAACTTTGACACACAAACGCTTTTACGCACACACACATGTTTTTACACACAGCCGCTCTTACACAAAGACCCCTTTACACACAAGCGCTTTTACACACAACCCTTTTACACACAAACACTTTTGCACACAGACACTCCGCCGGACTAACCAAAGTCGCAGAAAACCCTCAGTTATTGAGGATCGAACCTCATTTCGTGCGAAAGGGTGGCCATTTCGTGGCGCCTCGTTGGTATCGCCTGCGGCCTTAAGAGAGAAAAAAGAAAGAGAGAGACCGTGACACAGGGCAAGAAGGGCAAAAGAGAGAGAGAGAGAGAAAATGAGAAGATGAGAAGATGAGAAGATGAGAAAATGAGAAGATGAGAAGATGTGATGAAGATGTGAACATACGAAGATGTATAGCAGGCCTCCACGATTAGAAAAACTCTTCGCCCAGACTCGGGAAAAAACTGGGCAACCCTTTCAGCATGATCCTGAACAATATCAATCCGTCTCCCCCATTTTATAATACAGTTTCCTGGGAAACCCAAACGGATATGTTTGTTTCCCTAGGGTCCCACAGTCCCAGGGATGGGTGCTCAAGATGGGAGATGGGATGGGGCGGACCCATGTGGAAACACTAATCCGCACAGATCTCCTCTGAAACCCAATTGGAGCACCAAAATGGGTCTGATAGCAAATTCATCCAAGTCCATTTTGCAGGAGAAAATTTAATTTCTTTCTGGAATAATTGGCAGCTTGCTAGGTGAGTCTGGCCAAATCCGCCCCAAAGAATTTGTACGTCTGGGCACTCAGAAAGTCTCAAAGTCTACAGCTGAGTGTGGCGAACTATGACATCGAATACCTAACAGCACATGAGTTCAGGTCATTTTCAATGTTACTCCACGAAAACGTGACCCTCCAACTACCCATGAAAATTGGTATTTTACTCTATCATTTTGGTACTTTTACCATTTTTTACCCATTTTCATGCGTGCTTCAAACATCTAGGTATAGAAATCCATGAACATTTTGGAGAAGAACCTGGTCCCCACAGGTGGTCGACGACTAATCGCTAGCCCGAAAACCCGCTTCTGATCTGCAGGAATTGTTTGGAACTTCTGCGACGGCAGATGAAAAGGATATCAAGAAGAGTCTTGGAAACAACTTTGAGAGTCATTTTATCAGCGTTAAAAAAACATCGATGATCTTTCATGATGGTCTTATAAACTGTTGGGCCACTGTTGGGGATGTGATAAAAAACCATAAATTAAAATTTGTATATCCAAATGTTCCGGTCTATATGTCATATATCCAGAAGTGTGGAGATCAATCCCTCACGGCTGTTGGTGTTAAGTGCTCCTCATTTTACTTCGCTGAAGAACATGTTTGAAGTGGAAAAACCCCATGTCAATATGGAAAAATCCCAAGCCACATAGGGTTTCTATTCCCAAAAGAATGATCTAGTGATATCCCACTACTAAACCTTTATAGAATGAATAGATTATTGGATCGAATTTCTGATCTCTTCAAACATAGGAGGCCCACATGAGTTTTTTTTGAGTACGGGACTCTGTTCACATGAGCTTTGTGACTCAGGAAGTACTACGATTTGCAAAAGTCTGAGGCTCAGATGGTCAAGAATTAAATGAGTGATTCATCAGTCATGGGTCATTCATCATTCATCCATCATTCATCCATCATTGATCCGTCATTGATCCATCCAGTTAAAGATTTGGAATGATTTGGAATGGACATTGATTGGTCGATGAGGACTAGAATTTGGAACCAGAGTTAACCCAAAAAAAACCTGGGAAGAAGGTCTAAAGAAATCCATACTGTTTGGTAAACTAACATAGCTACAGAACATCAACCAATCTTGAAGAGGTAAAATATGGTAAAATCAACAACGACGAAAACTGGGCCATTTTTGCTATGGTATTCATTACCAGAGGGTATTGTGTGGTATATGCTCGATGTATTTTTCCGGATGGTCATCCTCATCCACTGAGGCTTTGCCATCCTGACGTAGCTGGACCGGAGGGTGAGGACACCAGACATGTTTGACTTTTTCGTAGAGCTGTGACTTTTTTGAACCCAAGGAGATTCCAAGAACTATTGTATATTAATAATATTTAATAGTTGTTATATATTAAGATGTAATCCAAGGTGTATTCATCCAATTACTGTTGTAAGTTCTTTGTGAGATTCCAAACTGCCCCAAAATCCAAGGAGATTCATGCTTATAGATTGATTCATGTTGTTATCTGGTTCAATAGGGTTTCGCGAATTCGAATTCTGCCAACCCTTGCCATACTTACAATGGACAATTGTGTTCGATAGAATGACGGATTTGCTTTTGGGGGATCATGTTTTGACCGTAGACATCAATAGACGACACAATACATATGGCATGTATGGCATGTGTGGCATGTATGGCATATGATGGTATTATAATGGTATATAATGCTATATAATGGTATTTAATGGTATATAACGGTATATATACTTATAATATATGGTATATACGTATATATATATCTACACACATATATATATATACACACACGTAACGTTGAAATATTTTCAGTGGCCCATTTGATCTGTGTTGATCCTTTGTTTTTTGTTGCCAATTTGTTGTTGGGAACTGTGATGCCACTGCTGGGATTAGGGAAGTTTTCAAGGGGTGACTTGTAAGTTCTGGACAACTTGTGGAGTTGTAAGTCTCAGTTGTAAGTTCTATAACAGTCCTATAACTGCTGGCAGTTGCTGAGTTGTTCAAATTTAATAAAACCCTGGTGGATACTGTTTAATAATGCCCACTGGAGAATATCTTGGCTCAGATCAGCATGAAACTTGACATTTTCTTAGGGATCCTGGCGCACACCTCCTTGAGCCTAGGGGAGTACTTGCTTGATCTGAAGTCTGTCCACCCTCGCAAAGTAGAGGACAAGCTCGAAACTGGTTGCATTTTTACAGGCACCGAAGTCGTTTATCAATGCATCAAAGCGGAGTCAAGTGGTGATGATCACCATAATGATGTGGAGCTTCCACAGGCTCTGAACTTTCGTATTGATTGCCGCGGTGCACGTGGCAACTTCCAAAACCTGACTCTATATGATTCATCAAGGTCCTGTGGTCGCTTGAGTTATAGGAAGTATGGGAACAGCTCAGATATCAAGCCTCTCATCATAGGTAAACTTCCATTGTATTCTGATCACACCGTGACAATCCAGAAGGGAGACATTTTGGACATTCAATGTGTCCCCTTTGACCTCGAATTTGATGTTGGCCTTTTACACCAGCCGGATCTTGCAACTGGAAAAATCAAGGATGAACTCTGGGAAATCCTCTTCAGTCTGCTGCTGGACGGTCAGGACATGGTTCAAAATTATCAGGCTTTTGACTTCATTATGATCTATTGGGAAGAAGAGGCTTTTCGTTCTTGCACCAAAACTTTGGTCAAGACCTACCAGTGGCAGATGAAGCTTTCCAACTCCATAGGCTTCACTTATTGGATCCGTTACTCCAGTCCAGCTGTCGAACAGAAGGCATCCATCTTTCCGAACATCGATCTTTGTTTCAACATCTCCGGAGAGATCTTCCATTTGGATAAGGACATCCTGCAGTTGAGTGTGCTTGAAGCTAGCAGTTACTCGATTTTAGGTGGGTCGGAGGAGTTCAAGAAGAATTCGAAGACCGATCAATGGTTTGTACGGTTGGACACAGATTTTTACAACTCGACCATCGCTTTCCATCGCTTCAGGATGGAGTTCAAGCTGGAAGTGAATCCAAAAAATCCAAAGCTTCTGCCAGATACTACCGATGTCAAAGTCAAGCTTCAACTTTTCTCGATCAAAATCGGAAAACGGCGCCATCCGTTTTTTTCGAAAGAAAGTGGTGATGCCCATCTCTCCTTTGAGCTGTTACTCCCTGTGAACAACACAGGGCGGGAATATTCAGAATCTGAGTCCCGGGTGATTTGGATGATTGCCTTCTTTTTCTTCATCTGCCTGCTGTGTGGCTTTTGCTACGTCTACCGGGAAGACTTTCAGATGTTATCTGAACCGCTCCAGAATCGAAATCTCATGGTGGAAGCAAATTCCGTTTCCATCGAACTGCAGGGAAGTTGAGAGCTCTGAAGTCAAGTCTCCATTCGGAATTCCCACAAATTTTACATCATTTTCATTCATTTTCCCATTATCCCATCATTATCCCATCATTATCCCATCATTATCCCATCTCTAGAAATTGAACGATAAATCTGCAGATTTACATGTTGCAGATGATCAACCTGCAGAACGCCTTCTTCCTGGACTCCCTTAACAGCTCTCACCGTCGTGCGCCAATGCGAAAAACCGGAAAAAAACGTTGTGAGCAACGGGAAAGGTCTCGAATTGAGGTGATTCCAATCAACATGTTAATGTTGGAAGATGATGGAAAATGTTGGAAGATGTTGGAAAACATCTTGAACTAAAGGGTATAGAACTAAGGGGCAATTTCTGGAGTCATTTTCGTTTCGAATCTCCTTTCGGGGTGCGGTTTCGCCCCCATTGGAGCAACTTAACCATAGAACTTCGTGCTGGGTAGGCTTCCCCATGTTTGCTCAGCTTGAAACCATCCCCCTAAACAGTGATTCATTTTTCTGGGAAGGGAAAGTTTAATTCCTATGCGGCTTGACTAGCGATTCCCACGGTGATATTCCCAGTTCCCCCATTTATGATGTTCGAAGTTACCTTTGTCAAAATACAAACTTCTCGATTCAATTATATCTATATAATTCCTATATAGATTGGTGATATTGACTCAGCAAGTTCTTGTGTGTTTAATATGATATACAGTTGATATTTCCATATATTTCCATTGAGAAAAGCATGCATGTTTATGCATTTTTCAGTTTCTTGACATATCTTAAGATGAAACATGCCAGCATTTTCCCGGTTTCAGGAGATGTGCATTCTTCTGAACGATGCCTGGGAGTTGCTTTCGGATCCTGAGAAGAGGAAGGACTATGATGCGCAGATCGAGCCCCTCACCATGCGGATCTTACCCAGAATTTCGGAATAATATGGGTCAATATGCATGGTTTAATGATGTTTATTATACTTTTATACTTTAATATGGTTTATGGTTTAGTATGGTCTAATATGGTTCAATGATTTACTATAATAGTTAACTATGGTTAACGGTTAACTTGCCAAAGTGCATAACATCAACCGTCAACCCAGGTTGTGATGCTAAAAGGAGGCGTCATTTCCCACCAAGATTTCGTCTGGGGGCCAGTGCATGGAATTCTGAATCACACCCGGCAACCATGGGAAACCAAAGACATCTAAAGGGATATACGTGACTAATAGATGTTTTATTCACGAAGAAACCTGAACTAACGTGACATAGGCCTCATCAGTCAAAAAAAGGGCTGATGAATTGCCCAGGGTATATTACAAATTATTACACACATCTTAATTGTGCAATATTGTTTTTGCAACGTCGTTTTTTTTGCGGCACTCTTTTGGGACCCGAAACGATCTCCGATCTCCGAAACTCTCCGATCGCCGAGGTTGGCCAAACCTGCCGCTTTGATGAAGGTTGCCCCAGAGGTCTCCACGGATCTGGCCCCCACTTGGAAGGGTGCGCGCAAGACTTTGCCACTGGGACGGTTTGGCTCAATTTTTTGCCAACCTGTGCCAGTTGCAGTTGCGCCAGTTGTGCCAGTTGAAGGTTGATGAAACTGATTAAACTCCATGACTGACTCCATGACTTTGATGATGGAAGTTGGGATATGTTGGGATATGTTGGGATGTAGCTAAGTGGGGGCTGAAGTGGGCTGGGGATGTGACTTGAACTGGGCTACAGATGATGATGATACTTGATGATACTTGATGATACTTGATGATACTGATACGGTGACTTAGGACACTTAGGAGAGTTGCACTGCACAGTAACAGAGCCGGTGATGGGCTAGGACGGCTAGGATCCGGGCTGCGAAATGCTAAGGAAACACCACTCAGACTACACTGGGATACTTGGAAGCAGCCCGTTTGGTGATCACATGTGACCAGCCTTTTTCCTCATACCCTGGATGTCCCTGGATGGCTGGAGGATGCTGGAGGTGGTCCTTTTGGGCTGCCCATATTATAGTCAACCAGGCTTATTGCTCCGGGGTTGCCATTTATATAATATTTATATAATTTTATATATGCATACCCAGGTTCTAATGGGACAATTTGAATTCAAATATAGACAGGATCATGTGGAACACATTGGAACATGACGTGACAAATCCCTTGCAAAATTGGGCACCGATGTAGACCATGGTGGATGTGCAGGATAAGACCAACATATTTGGGACACACGACCCAGCCACTCTCAGGATCCCACTGTCTCGCAGCAAATGGACGCAAGTACCCCCTGAAGATCGTGGGGAGAAGCATGCGCAAGAGAAGATGCTTGGAGAATTTAAGGTGGGTAACGCAATGTGGCTGGGAAAGCATCATCATAAGTGGGGGTTTATATAGAGCATATAGCATATAGCATATATATATATATATGCTATATATATATACACATATGTATAGCATATATATATATATATGTATATATAGCATATATAGCTGGGAAATTAATGGAATTAAACGGTACATTTTCGAGGGGCAAGCCTCGTTTGATTACTGCAGGGTAGCTTAAAAAGATTGGGTTCAGCCATTTTGGACCCCCAAAAAATCGGGGCTTTGGAAGTATGACGCGTGGTGGATTTCACACTCTTGCCACCTGCTTCCTTTTTGGAACTTCAAGGTTTAGTGTTCTATTTTGCAGTGTACCGGTGGTGGAGCTGTTTTGTTGTTGTCACTGGAGCCATTGGTTTGAGATCTCAGGACTTCTCGAAGTTTAGGACATACTCACATCTTCAGATGGCTCAAAAATCGATCCTTCAATGTGGGCCCATTGGCACCATTAATGGCACCATTAAATAGCTAACCGCTGGCGGTTGCTTAGCGCGGCGCAAAAAGGATGGTCTTTGTGGATGAGTGGGCCTGCATTTGCTGCCGAAACTGTTCCGTGCCCAGCTGGGACACATCCATCCTTTGTGACAGCTGGTTGCAGATCCCATCGCTGGTTGGGAAAACCATGGGAAAGCAATCGGTTCCAGCAGAGTTTTCAAGCATCAGAAAGGAAGAGAGTCTTAAGCTGGCAAAAAAACATAAAAGGACCCAAGATTTTTTGAGATATACCACTATATACCTATAGAATCCTATAGATCTTATAGGAACATCCACACCGGAATCCACATGGCACATCGATTTTGCAAAACCGAGGCTGCGATGTGGCACCTCAAACCTTCTGCATTCAGAACGACAACGGCGCGGGGGCTCTGGGAGCCATAAACCACTCCATCCTTTGGGGGATTTGATCCAGCAGGCGGAACCATAAAACTCACATTGACTGGTTGTGATTCCAAGAGATGAAGAATTTACCACGCAGTCTCTCTACTATATTGAGAATCCGAACATATATGAACATATATATGAACATATATATGAACATATATATGAACATATATAAGAATATATATATATGAACATACACATATATATATATATGAACATATATATATATATGAACATATATATATATATATATGAACATATAACATACATACATGAACATATATATACAGTATATATATATGAATATATGTATATATATTAATATATATATGAACATATATATGAACATATATGAACATATACGAACATATATATATATATATGAACATAACATATATATGAATATATATATATATGAACATCTGTCGGTCACAGATGGTTTAACTTCAAAAGTGGAGAACAGTTGAGTCATCGTCGTGCAGGACGTGCGAATGTCTACACGCAGTGGGGAAACTCTGAGGAGCGTCCAAAAAATGACTGGCAGTCTCTGGTTGTTCACAAGTTCTGATATGTTTGTTTGTCAGGGTAAATGAGAGTTTAATAACAAATAGCTGTCAATGAATTTTTCATATTCAATCTCCAAGCCACAGATAATCCACAGCGTCATCCTGGTCATCTTTGGGAGCCACCAGCTGCAAGGAGTACCTCGATTACGCCGTTGCTTCATGCCCTGTGGACTGCATCTACTGGGTCAGTCGGGAGGAACTGCAGGCGTCTGTGAATTCGTCACGGTTGAAGGATGGGATATCCCTGGGGGAAAACATAGAAATGATGTGGAAAAACCAGGAAAAAACATGAAAACCAATGGTTTCCCGTTTGCAAAATGATCTACGAATAGTGGGGTTTTTCACATCTTTTTGTATGTAAAAACAGGAGGGTAACCATGAATTGAATACATTGAAATTCCATGAAATAAGATTCTGAATGATAAACCATTAGATGAATATCATTGAGTTACTAATACCTAAAATGGCCCGACTTTTTAAGTTAGTGACTTATACTTGTTGAGTGACTTATTCCTAATTTATCCGGATGGCTTGACTGATCGCTCTGAGAAAGATCTAAAAGAGCAAAATCATCATGGAGTTCTAAATACAAAACAGATTATTCATAATGATGATCTATTTATCCATAATAATTTCTCAGTCAATTTCCTCCAAGTCCCGGTCTGCTTTCTGGTTGTCCGTGATCAAATTAGACCTGACAGGTCTTGGAGTATGCAGGGGCCCTCAGACTTTCCTTTTTTTCTAGCAACTGAAGAATGCTGGGGTGGGGGATGATGGGGATGCCTGGTTGAAAGATTTTGAAAGATGTGGAAATCCCTTGAATTCTCACCTCGAAAAAAACGTAAGGTCACTGCGGAAAAGATGGTGGAAGAGAAGGGACAGTTGCCTTGCCCTCTGTCCTTCATGCAGGTGCCACATGGGAGTTGACATAGTTGATTAAAATCCATCCGAATCCACAGATTCGATTTGTTCCAGGACCCAAACACATCATTTCAAAGATGGATGTGTCTGAACATGCTTTTTGTAACCCCACCAAAAATGGCCTCATTTCTGCCATTTGAATGGGGAACATGATGAACAAGTCATGATGGCCGGCGGCTCCAGGGAATGTTGAACGAACCTCCCAATGATCCTTTTGCCGAAGCGAAGTCGGAGCCTTGGAACCGTTTTGATGCAACGCTTGCCGCTGGTCCAAATGGAGCTTAATAGTTAGCAGTAAGTATGGGATATCATGATATATCATGATATATCATGATATATCATGATATATCATGTATCATTTCTAGAAGGTATCACTGTATGAAGGTTAAGAATGGCGAAACATTGTAAATGAAGGTATCGCTTGTCTGAAAGAGCCTACAGGAAAAGATGCCTTTCTTCGACAGAACATCTCCGCAATTCGCTGGACTAAGTCGCTTTAAAGCCAAGAGAGAGGAGGATGAAAGGCAGCCGTGAACGAACACATTCCCTACATTGGAGATTGAGTTGTCTGCAGCTTCCCCGCAAATCCATCATGATCCATCCGCCAGGAGAAAGCAATTAGCCTCAAAGGATGATGCCACTGCCAAGATGGAGGTTTGGTTCCAAAGGACCTGAAGTGACCTGACAAAAGGCTTGACCATTTTGGTTTAGATGTACCAGGTTTGCACATGTTTCAACATGTTTCAACATCCACGCTTGCAGAAATTTCCTGATTCGGAAAACGCTCATGAATTTTCAATGGCAAGACTCAAAAGGTCAATGTTTTGGGTCAATTTGGGACTGTCCGTGACTTTCCTCTCTGTCATTTGATGCTCGTTTTTTTTGACGCAGAAACCCACCTATCAGGTGGCCCAAAACAGAACTTTGCTCGCAGGATCCTAAAAGTCTTTGAGAATCTCTCCGAGAAGCTACGCAGAAGCGCCACTTGCCGCGCATTTTTTTTGGGAACACATTAAAAATACGGCTGATTTTTGAGCCAGGATTCATGTCAGATGGCCTCTTGTTGCAATGAAAGGATATTTTTAAGGCACCTCTGAACTGTGACTATCTGTGAATAGATATGTCCTGCATAGTCTCTCTGTATCTCAATCTTCTTTTTTTGATGTTTGTTGGATCAGAACCCTACCATAGATGTCTATAGTTCACTATATACTTATGACATCTTATGACATGTACAACCTCTAGAGATCATCGACGTCGAGAAGTCGAGCAGTCGGAGAGTTGCGGGGATGTTTCTTGCCAAGGTCATGCCCTACATTCAGAAGTGCCAGCCTTTGCCGATCGTTCTCAGCTTGTCGTTTTTCGAAACTTAACGAAGCTTTTGCAGTGATTTGATGCCGAGGTGATGCCCCTCGGTGATGCCATGAAAATCCAAAAAAGTGAATTTTATCAAAGATTGGCAAGTTCAGATGCCATATGCAGCCATATGCAGCCATATGCCGTAATTCAGATGAGTGAAAAATCTGGAGCTCGAATCTTCCTGGTTTTCCCTGTTCAAGCTCGAGAATTCGCACGAGAAGCTGTCCACGTCGGACGGCTGATTTGTCCAAGGAGAAATCACAGCCGACGCCACGCGGATGTTTAGGTCTTTGGGGCAGGAAATGTGAGAGTTTGGAGCTTTGTTAGCTTAAGCTCCGCAGCTGTTTTTGGCACTTCACTCGATTTTAGGGATTTCTTCTTTGATGAACACCAGAATTGTTTGATTTTTGCTGTGGGATTCCACTTGCACAAGTCTCCCATGCGATTGGTTCCAGTTTCGCAAACAAATTAGAGGTATTTCATGGTATTTCGAAAGATCTGCGGGCACCCACAAGCCCAAAAAACAATCATTAAAATCCCATTAAATCACTCTAAAATCCCATTAATATCCCATTAATATCCCATTAATGACTTCGAAGTGTTTGTGACTTGTTTCTGATTTGAATGATGACAGACACAAGGCCTTTCCCAACATCGATTCCTGGATGAAAAACATGGGGCCTCCCGCAGCATAGCTGGTGCAGTCCGGCTGAGGCAGCCAGGAGGTTCTCCTGGCACAATCTGACACACCTTTCGACACATTAGCGATACCATCCCTTGCAAATGGGGGGGGGATAGGCCCGCACAAAAAAGACGCAAAAGGGGTATATCATAATATTACAATATATATATACATATCATATATATATATATATATCATATGTAATTAATTAATATATATAATATATATACGCGCAACGCCTGGGCTTTGCCCAGGCATTGCAGCGTAGAGGTTTCCCATTCCCAAACAAATGTTGATGCAAACAACAAAGGTACTATGGAATATTAAACTCCCAACCCCTTTAAACCCTAGATTCCTATGGGAAAAACAACAAAGTTACTGAGGAATATTAAACTCCCACCCCCGTTAAACTTTACATTCAATTGCGAAGATCAACAACGGTACTAGGGAATATTAACTGCCTTGGCAATTCGGACATTTTTTATTTTTTGCTGTTTTCTTCACACCTGTGAGCCACTGTCCAGTCAAAAGGGTTGAGTTAGTAGTAGTTCATTCCATTCCAGCATCCCTGCCTGGCCACGCTGCCCAAGCGGCTCTGCATTCCTCATCTTCCTGATTATCCTGACCCTTCGCCGCGCCCTCAGAACCTTTCAACGCGCAAAAAAAAACAAAACGTGACATTGAAGGGTCATATGGTCGCGTTGAAGGGTCAAATTATGCAGTATTAATAAATTACCAATTCCATTTCCATTCATAAGCCGCTAGTCTAAGTATTCCTGCTCAGGCCTGACCTTGCTGCTCCTGCTGCCGCTGCCTTTCCCACTACAGCACTTGGAGAAGGCTTGGACTTGTCAGTGCTGTGGTCGGCAGTGTTTGTGGTTAAGGTTTTTTTTATCAATGAAGTGCATTCTAGTTTTAGCAGCCCTGCATGGATTGCTTCATTCTTCCATCCCCAGCACCACTGTTTGCCCAAGCCGCCCCTGTGCGTTCACTTCGCCGTCTTGTGCTGGTGATGGCAGCTCCTGCTGCTGCCCTGGCAGAGGCATTGGCCGCCATGGAGGCTGCAGACGCTGCTGGTGTTGCAGCTGCACCTGCTGCCGAAGCAGCTCATCCTGCCGGAGCTCCTGCTGCCGAAGCAGCCCGCCCTGCTGAAGCAGCCCCTGCTGCGGCAGAAGCTGCCTATGCCGCCGAAGCACCTGCTGAGGCTGGTCCTCCTGATGGCGCGCCATTGATTGAGGACTACAATGAGGCGGAGCATGGAGATGATGGGCCAGGGCCAGATGAGCTGGTTGTGGAAGGGAGATTGGTGCCCCAATCTGAAACTGGCCTTGTCCCTGCTGCCCAAGCTGCCCAAACTGCTGCTGCCCAGCGCCAGCGAATGGATATCGCAGAGAGCGTGAGGCAAGCTGTTGGCAGCACCTTTGGCTTGCGAATGGAAGGTCTGCTGCTGGGCCAGGAAGAAATTAAGCACCATGCCGTAGCTCGCACCCATGCCCCTGCCATTTTCAATGAAGTCTACGACACGTCCAAAGATTTCTCATGGGCAATGTTCGGATTTAACACCATGGTGTTGAGTTTCTTCCCTGGTGCTGACAAGAACAATATGTCCATGTCCGTCGGCACTTTGATGTGATTTAGTAAAGCTTTCCATTTCCATAATATGAACTAATAAGGTTTTCAATTTGCACATTTGTTGGGCTTTTTCCCAGGATGCTCATCTGATAGAGGATCCATTATGTGCCTGCTTTTGCGCATGCTTGAGGCTTGACCCTGCAGCCCAGCGAAGCCAACATTGTGGAGGAAGCCCGCGATTTGCTGAAGCTGATTCCTCCGCACAATAGCATTCCAAAGAAGTTCTCTGTGGCAGCTCGGCATCATGTGGTCAAAGAATATTTTTCTGGACATGGATCTGCGTTTCATGTCATGGGGGCGCCAAGAATATTAAAAATTGTTACAAGTAATTTTAATCCTCTGGTGTTTCATTGCTTCCCTGCTGAGTTGGCTGCCATTGTGCGTGAGCTCCTCCAGCAGTTCTCAGGGGCCGGTCACTGCGATGGTGGAACGCTTCTGTGCAACATCTTCATCTTACCCTTCTCTATGAACGGTGCTGCCAGGGGATACCCGCTTATTGAGCCAGAGGAGGATGGGAGCGTTGAAATTTGAAAACAAAACACTCAAAACATCATTGAACTGATCAATGAATTACACGTTTGTTGCAAATTACTTGACAATTTGTTGCTAAGATATGTTTATTTTCTGCATCATAGTTGTTTGGTGGGATTTCCTTCCCAAGCTAAATTTGTCTCCCAGCCCCTGTCATCAGAACCTTGCATGGGCTGGCTGGGCGCTTCCCATTGGCACTGGGGGCAATTTGATGCCGCTGCTGCTCTATGCCAATGACGTTCTCAGCATGGCGAACAAGTTCCTGGACCTTGCCCAACTGCGCACCAGCGGCACCGAGCTACGCAATTTCGACGCCATGGCAGGGAACCTGCGCCTCAAGTCTTTGGAGGAATCCAACAAGGACACTGTCAATGCCTCCTTCTTTGGCGTTCATTTTGGCCACAAGATTGAAGAGCAAGAGTGTGGAGGTGTGAGGTATGCCCTCAAGTCCAAGCAGTACCTCAACAATGAAGACTATGCCTTGGTCCACAATCTCCAGCCTGGCAATGCGCAATTTTTTGACTTTGGCGAGATGCCAGGGCCAACTACCCAGTCCATTTGGGTGTCTGCTGAAGGATTTTTTTATATCCTCAGCTTCCGGCCAGCTGACGTGCAGCAGAAGAAGTTCGACAGCCCCTGCTGGGTACTACAGGCTGGGCATGGGTAGAAATAAGTAATAGCAGCCTCAGTAGTAATAAAATGCAATAATAATTAAAAGGAAAAGGGCAAGGACAAGGACAAGACACACGAATTAGAACCAATGAGAACAATAACAAAAACACGATTCGGGATTTTATCAGAAGGAAGAAGAAGAAGAACAACAACAACAGGAAGAAGAGCAATAACAATAACAAAAACAGTAACAAGGACCAGATCAAGAACCACCACAACCACAACCACAACCACAACTACAGCAACAGCCACAGCCACAGCCACAGCCAGCAGCAGCAGCAGCAGCAGCAGCAGCAGCAGCAACCGCCACCACCGCCACCACCGCCACCACCGCTACCACCGCTACCACCGCTACCACCACCGCGGCAGCACTGGCAGCAACAACAACAGCAACAACAACAGCAACAACAACAGCAACAGCCACAGCAGTGGCCACAGCAATGGCAACAGCAACATCAATATTGCCTCTTCATTTGGCTTGCTAATTTAGAGTATCAACCCTCATACTTTATTAGTGAACCGGCTAGTTAGTTATTATATTAGTTGATTTAATTGGAAAATCATACTAGTTAGTTGTCAAAGATTGCAGTGGTTTGATTACAGGGGCATGTTAGGGATTGGAATCAGGGGAGATGTTGCAGCATCAGGTTTTTTAATTTCTCTGCCAGTCCCTGCAAGGCTGAGTGCCTGAAAGGGGATTTCGACGATCAGCGATGGGTCTACAGACCAGGCACCCGCGGCCCCTGCAGCATCCTCTGGACCGGCCAGACTGAGGACGATTTTGGATTGCTTTGGGATGGCTTGACATTGGTTTCTTGGCAGTGGATGTTGGGATTTAATGCGCTCTTCCAGCTTGGTTTGGTGATCGCATCAGGTGATGATCATTTTTGGGGCAATAGGTTGCCTTTTATTGCAGGATGCTAACTGAAAACTGTGACTTGATCACCCAAGCATGTTTGGTGATCGCATCAAATGCAGGTCATTTTGGGTTGATTTCAAAGGGCGGTTTATGAATTAACTTTGTTTCTTTTCAATGTCAATTGCATTGCTGAGGAGAGAGCCCTGGTTGCCAAGAAGGGCAGCAGCACCTGCGTTCTTGCAATGCGCCTTCAGCGACATTTGGATGCGAAAGGCAAGCCGTTCACTGTCACCATCGCCAAATGCTCTGAAGCTCCCTCAGGCTTGCTCAGCGGCATCCAGCAGCCGAACGTGCAGACCGACAAATATTGCCGCGTGACTTTGAAGAACACCGGTGACATGGAGCTGGCCAAGTTTGCTCATCAGATGCGTCAAGTTTTTCAACCTGCAGCAGCAGGCAAAGGCAAAGGCAAAGGTTTCGAAGTTGCTCCTAGGAAAGGTGGCCAAGGATGGCCGCAGAATCCGCAGCCACAGCCATTTCAGCCGCTGCTGTTTCCGCCCTTTCAGCAGTTCCCACAGTTCCAGCCTGCCCAAGCTGCCCCTGCTCCCAAGGCCATGCCGAATCCTTCGGCCGGTGTGTTTCCGGCAGCTGCTGCAGCTTCTTCTGATGCA